CCGTCAGCCTGCCTTTCCACATCCATTAGTTACGTATTTTCCAGGCCAGCAAGAATCAAGCAGCACTGTCAATGCTATGGTAGTCTTATTTCATAAAGGTCGTATGACTCCTGAAGTGTGTCACCAAAGCCACCATCCTGCATTTGGAGGAACAAGGGCTAGGAAGAACTTTATTCTCTTTGGTTTAAAGATACTGCTTTCGAGAGGAAGCAGTTCTGAACAGTAAGTCTATTTTCCTGCAGGCGGGAGAGGACTTTTCAGTATCTAAAAACAAAGGTTGAAAGAAGGTATGATTGGAATTTTACATTATAAAGCGTGGCTAGGATGCACACATTTTGTTCCTTGGGTTTCTCTATTCTAGTTGAAGGCTTCACACAGCAGGCAGTGAGCTACTGAAGTTTATTATTCTAGAAGGTATTACAGAAGAAAAGGAACTAAGATAAATTCATGCATGGTAAATTACCAAGGGAAACTACTGAAAAAAATTCTTTGAGATGTCAAGGAACGCCTTGGCTCATTAGATTTTGACCTGATTCTGATCTGCTTTCCAAACAGCACATGTTCACAGAGCCCCTCTTTGGGTGCTCTGGGAGAAATAAGATAGATCCTGCCCTGTAGGGGATCCCCAGCTAGTGGGAGAAGATAAATGTGTACAGTAACAATTACCACATAGCAGGTGACAGCCATTCCTGTGTCGAGGTTAGAAGGTGCTTTGCGAGAAGGTAGAATCCCCGTGGTGGACTCTGGGTGAGTTTCTTAGAGGTGTGTTTTAGGACCTAAAAGGGAGCAGAATTTCCACAGCAGAGTAGGAGACAAGGACTTGCCAGGTGGAAAGACGAGCTTAAGCATCTTCTTAGAATTGGGAGCTTTGTTGACCTTCCAGAAAGGTGAATGCTTCGAATGGGTATGGCCTGGGCAGGTAGAAGAGGGAAGGTCAGACTGGAAGGTTCTATAAGCATCTTATTTGGAAGGGTCTGAAGACTGAGGAGTTGCCACTTGATTATTTTCAGTGGAAAACCTGCAAGGTTTTAGAGCAGTGGATTGATGTAATCAGAAGTCTGCTTTCAGAAATTTCAGTGTGGGGCGGGAACAGAAAATGGAGAGGGGAAGGAGCGCTGTTGGGAGGGAGTTGCTGTAGGCTGGCAGGCCTGGAGGGCCCAGGATGAGAGGCATGGAAACAGGAGAGGCTTGGGATGCCTTAGAAAAATAGTATTTTTTATTATAAAATCATGTGAATTTGTAAGTAATACAAAAACGTAGGCTCATGTGGAGGAATAAAACAAAAACCCCATATGAATAACTACCATCTGAGCATTCTGATGGACTTTCTTCAGGGTTTTTTAGGCATAAGTAGCTGCTTGAAATTTCAGTTCATAGTACAGTATAAAATACCACTTTCCTTCACTCCTGTAAGCTGTCTGTAATCTGTCCTAAGTCCCTTCCTGCGGGCTACTGGGAAGTTCTCTCTCTCTCTCTCTCTCTCTCTCTCTGTCTTTCTCTGTCAGTCATCATTGGGGCTGCGCTCCCTCTCTTGCAGTGGGATCTTGTGGTTCCCGGGATTCTTAACTCCCTGACTCCCAGACTTAGCATCTCTCAGCTCCTCCCTGCCCAGTGCCCTGAGGTGGGGAGGCCTCCAGGGGGACTCCTATCCCCGCCCCACCCTGAAGCGCCAGCTTTACTCTGATTAGGTCCCCTTCTCTTCCTCTCCATTCTCTCCTTGTGACAGCCTGGCATGACGTTCCTCAGTGTGCTACGAAATGATGTTGGCCCTTTTTTCTGGGGTAGTAGAGACACATCAGTTCGGTGTGCTTTTGTGTCTTTTTAAAAATAGCTTCCTCTGATGAGGTGATGTGGTGAGTTATGCTGCTCTCTTTGCAGTTTTGGATCCTGTGTTTTTCAGTGTCATTTTTAAACACTTTGAGAATATTGTTATAAAAATATGCATCATTTACTGGTAGATAACATGAAATAAGCCACTCTGTGTATAGAAGTTTTTCTGTGTTTTGGGTGGATTCTGGAGGTGGAATTTTTGAGTCAAAGGCATAACTTTTTTATCATCATGATTATTATTATTACTACCAGGCCACTCTCTGTTATCACCACAAACTTAGCGGCTGGAAACAATACCCATTTTTTAGATCCCAGTTCTGTAGGTCCGAAGTCCAGGCATTGCTTGTTTTCTGTTCTGAGTCTCCCACGCTGAAATCCAGGTGTCAGTTGCTGGGCTGTCCTCTGGAGGCTCGGTTGGCTAAGGAAGAATCTAACGGGCTCATTCAGGTTTTTGGCCGAATTCACTTCCTGGGGGTTTTAGGATTGAGGTCCATCCCTGTTTTCTTTCTCTTTTTTCCTTCCTTTCCCTCCCTCCCCTCCTTTCTTCCTTACTTTCTTTCATTTTTTTAATTAACCTGTACTCTCAACATGGGGCTCTAACTCATGACCCCTGAGATCAAGAGTCACATGCTCTACCAGCCGAGTCAGAGCCAGGCTCTCCTTTAAAAAAAAATTATGTAAAATAGGCCTGATGTCTTTTATTTTATTATTTTTAAAAAATTATTTATTTATTTTTTAGTAATCTCTACACTCAACACGGGGCTCAAACTCATGACCCCAAGATCAAGAGCTGCATGCTCTTTCCACTGAGCCAGACAAGCACCCCAGCCCTTTTCTTTTTTTCTTTTCTTTTTAAAATTTTTAAAATTTATTTAACAGAGAGAGAGAGAAAGAGACCAAGCAGGGGGAGCAGCAGGCAGAGGCGCCCTTTTTAAGATTTACTTTATTAGTTTAATTGAGAGAAAGAGAGAGAGGGAGGGAGAGAGAGCACCCGAGAGCGGGACTGAGGGGGCTGGAGGGAGGGCAGATGCACACTCAGCACGGATCCCACGACTGTGAGATCTTGACTTGAGCGGAAATCAAGAGTCAGACACCCAACTGACTGAGCCACCTGGGTGTCCCGAGGTCCCTGTTTTCTTGCTGATGGTTAAATAGGGTTCACTGTCAGCTTCTAGAGGCCACTTTCAGGGCTTTGCTGAAAGCCCTTCTTTCACAACCGGCAACCATCTTCCTCACATTAAATGCCTCACATTTAGAATCTCTGACTGCCTCTGTCTCTGACCTCTGGACCTAGAGTTAAAGGGCTGACGGGATGGGGTTTCTCTGTCTCCCCACAACCCTCAAGAACTTCTCATCATCTCAGCAGAAACTCTGAGGGCGCCTGGGTGGCTCATTCGGTTAAACGTCTGCCTTTGGCTCGGTCCTGGCATTGAGCCCTGGGTCCAGCTCAAACAGGGAGCCTGCTTCTCCTTCTCCCTCCCCCGCTGCCGCTCCCCTGCTTGTGCTCTCTCTCTGTCAAATAAATAAATAACATCTTAAAAAAATTCAAACACAAACTCTGTATTCATTAAATAGTAACTCTGCATTCCCCACTCCCTGCCCCCTCCACCTCTATTCTACTTTGTGGTTTTATGGATATACCTATCTTAGGTACCTCCTGGAAATGGAGTCATGCAGCATTTGTTCTTTTGTGCCTGACTTGTTTCACTTAGCGTAATATTTCCAAGTTTCATCCCTATCGTGGTATGTAGGCCATTATATGTATATACCACGTTTCGCTTATCTGTTCCTTTGCTGGTAGCCATTTGGGTTGTTTCGGGTCTCTTTATCTTTTTTTTTTTTTTTTTTTTTAAGATTTTATTTATTTATTTCACAGACAGAGATCACAAGTAGGCAGAGACAGAGAGAGGGGGAAGCAGGCTCCCCGCTGAGCAGAGAGCCCCATGTGGGGCTCGATCCCAGGACCCCGGGACCATGACCTGAGCCGAAGGCAGAGGCTTCAACCCACTGAGCCACCCAGGCGCCCCTCGGGTCTCTTTATCTTAAGGTCAGCCGATTTGGGTACTTAATCATGTCTGCTAAATCCCTTCTCAGCAATCCTTAGATTAGTGTTTGAATAATGGGGAGAGTGTGTGTATGTACCGAGGGCCCAGAATGTTGGAGCCATTTTCGGATTCTTTTTCTTTTTCTTTTAAAGATTTTATTTATTTATTTGACAGAGAGAGAGATCACAAGTAGACAGAGAGGCAGGCAGAGAGAGAGGGAGAAGCAGGCTCCCTGTTAAGCAGAGAGCCTGATGCGGGGCTTGATCCCAGGACCCTGAGATCTTGACCTGAGCCAAAGGCAGAGGCTTATTAACCCACTGAGCCACCCAGGCGCCCCCATCTTTGGATTCTGCCTACCACACGCCTTCTAGAAAGATTGGAGTTACCATCTTGCCTTCTTTCATACCTTTGTCTATAAATTGTTCAGAAGAGTGTGGAAATCACATCTCATTTCACTGCCTGCCTTTCCAGCTGGGCTTTTCTCTACTCACAACTCTGGTGGGATGAAGAATGCATAACAATGACTTTTCAGCCTCCACTGAGCGCTCTGGCTTCTCCTCCCCGATATTACCTGTGACATACTTCTTGAGGATGTATGAGATTGTGCAGTAATGTCCTGAGAATGCAGCAGGATTTGAATTTGTCCAAATTAAGAGAATTTAGGGCTATAATTGCCATGATTAAAGTTAGCCTCATGCTTCAGCCTGAATGCAAATTCATTTGACTCGTTCTGGTCTTCTGGGAATTGGACATTGGATCCTGAAAAGATGGTGCTCCCTAGGAACTGGGATACTTGGGAAATGGAAATCATTAGAATGTGCTAGAAATCTCAGATTAAATGGGAGCTGAGGATCTCAATAACAAGACTGTGGCCATGGATTCAGCATGGGTGGTGTTTGACTATTCTTGCCATTTAGCTCGGAGGAGGAGTCTATGCCCTTTGGGAAAGGGATGGGGGTGGTGTGGTCTGGGATGGGGTGTGTGTGTGTGTGTGTGTGTGTGTGTGTGTGTGTGTATGCATGTGTGATGTCCCAGGTTAGGTTTTGCTCAGAAGGGGAGGGGCTCTTAGTTGCTCTGTTAGCTCTGAGGTACTTAGATGCTCTAAGGGTCCTAGGACGATGTCTTCTCAATTTAGAATATGCCAGCTTGCTTGTGGGTAATCCTGGTGTCGGGGAACAGATAGCATCACCCTCTTGTGGCAGGTGAGTATGAGATGTGGATGAGGATTAGAAGGGGGTAAAAGCGTCCACTGCAAACAGTGAATCCTTCCTGCCCGCTGGGGACTTCCCCCGGGCCAGAGGAGGAGAAGACGCCGAGGTGACAACCTGTGTGTCTTCCCTATCCTGAGCTCGCTTTGCTGGCAGAACTGAATGTGTGTTCTCTCTCGCAGGCAACGGCGATGTCTGTGGACTGTCTGGGACAGCATGCTGTGCTTTCCGGGTAAGTGATCGTGCAGTGTTCCTCTGCTGCGATTTCTGGGAACAAATGGCAAATCAGGAAGGAGGTTTCTGGGAAGTCGGAAAATACTCCTTCTCTTTAAGGATTGTGGCCCTAGGGCTTAGTTCTCTCCTAGTGACCTCGGGGGCACTTAGAGGGATTGTTAGCAGTTTATTTTTGTCTCTGCCCTAACATGTAAGCAATAAAATTCCTTTGAAATTTTAGTGAGTGGGACTTTGGTCTTGGAATTACAGTTTTCTGTTCATTGCATGGACTCTGTAGAAGGATGCTCTCTGTTGTGGTCTCACAGGTAGTTACAGGGATGGAGGGCATCTGGGTCCTAGTTTGGCACTGCCTTTAATGACAAGTCCTGGGACATTTATCCAGTCGGCCTCCGTGGACTTCAGTTTTCCTGTGAAGGAATTTGATTTCATTATGAAGAAATCAACATAATTTCTGTGGTGTCTTCTGGCCCAGCATATTTAAGATTTTGGCAAGTAAGCACCATCCCAGCATTGCTAGTTATTCCACCACGGTACCAGAGTGATCCCACTTAATGGCCAGAATCTCACCTCCCCTCTCATAATCACTATCTCTCCAAGTTTGCTGTATTTTCATTAACTTAGTTGTTTATGAACCCACTTATAAATTTTTTTTTTTAAGATTTTATTTTTAAGTAATCTCTACACCCAGTGTGGGGCTTGAACTCACAACCCGGAGATCAAGAGTCACATGCTTTACTGACTGGGCCAGTCAGGTGTCCCTGAACCCATTTATAAATTAATGAATTATTTTCTTTCTTTCTTTTTAAAAAAAAAATATTTTATTAATTTATTTGAGAGAGAGAGAGAATGAGAGAGAGCAAGCAGGAGAGGGGGAAGGTCAGAGGGAGAAGCATACCCCCTGCTGAGCAGGGAGCCTGATGCAGGACTTGATCCGGGGACTCTAGGATCATGGCCTGAGCCAAAGGCAGTTGCTCAACCAACTGAGCCAGCCAGGCACCCAATGAATTATTTTCTACTTCATTGTTTTATTTTGAAATAATATTTTCACTTGCCTTAAAAAATGTAGCAAACATTTAAATAATTCAAAAGGCTATAGGTTGAAAAGTAAGATTTCCTCCTCCCTTTGGCCCCCTTCCCCAGGGACAGTTACCATTACCATTTTCTTATGTCATACTGGTTGCATAGATAAGGAACTATTGGTATGTCTTTTCACTGCCGCCTTCTCACTCAGAAAAAAAAGAAAAAACAGCTTTATTGAGATATAATTCACAGACCATGCAGTTTACCCATTTTAAGCATACAAGTCAGAGGTTTTGGGGATATTAACTACTCAGTTTTTAAGCCTTGTTTTTTGAAAATCAAGGAAATACTTATATATAGTTGAAAAAGTCAGTATAGCATTACAAGGATTATATTGTCAGATAGCAGAATCCTACCTTTTCCCTACCCCTGATCCCACTCACTAGAAGCAACTAATTGAGACTCTTTTAGCTATTTCTTCGGGGTTGCCTCCATTTTTCCAAATAGTATACCTATACTTGGTATCTTGGTTTATCCATCAAAGATCTAACAAATTGACTTCTAAAAACAGGTGAGGAGTTAGCACTTTTATTTTCCTCTGTGAGTCCCTTACAGGACCTTCCCCCTCCTTCCAGTATAGTTATATAACAATTTATGGGTTGAATTGGTATTTGGGGTTCTTTTCTCAGAGTAATTTTGAGAGGTCCTATACCATTCTGATTCTGGACGTTTTAAGTGACCTGTTTTTTGTCTTTGGAAGCTTTAAAATGCTATCTTCGTCTCTAGTGTTACTTTTACCTCCAGGTGTGTGAAATTGTTACACCAAGGCAGTGGGTTGAATAAATTTTCATTTATTGTGCTGGGCACTTGGAGGACTCCTCTTTTTTTTCCATCTTGCCTTATTTTATCTAAACAGATGAAACATAACATATGCCTGGCATCATGTAGCCACATTAACAACCCATAAAATACTGAGGTGCTCAGGAATAACTGTGTCTCAAATGTTAGACTTTTCTGCATTCACTGATGTGGCTCTTGTCATTTGTAGCATCGTAGGAGGGAATGGGATCGTGTCACTGGAGATCAGGCCGGCATTCCTGCTTTGGTGTGCTCTTAGATACAAATATATTCGTCTTATTTTTCAACAAGATCTTGAAGGTTCACCATTTCATATTCTTACATTGAACTTGAAAATATATAAATGAATATTTATATTCATATAAATATATGAAAAATATATACAATATATAATATAATAACTTTATTATATAAAGTTTATGTATAATATATAAACTTGAAAATATATAGGTATATAATATATATAATATATATTATATATTTATGTATTTAAGTGTACAGCTCAAGTAAATTTATAGGTGTATATGCCCGTGTGATCCCTAGTCAGAGTGAGATCCAGAGTAATTTTTAGCAGTGTTGGAAGGCCCTTTCAGTCTGGAAGTCTGTGTCTTCCAGAGAAGTTTTCCTGCGCTGAGTCTCAATTCCATACACACACACCCCAACTTCCTGCTCTCATTCTTTCTGGAGCTGCGCTTAGTCTTTGTTGGATATCCTATGTGAATTCTCTTTTGGTCCATTTTGTTTTACATTCTGGGCATTTCCTTCAGCTTTAACTTGCCACTCTTCGATCAGATTTCTTTATTTCAGTTATGCTTTTCATTTCCAGGATCTCTCTCTTGTTCTCTGTTCTTTACCTTGTCTTCTTTTACCTCTCTGAAGGTGTTCATTCTAGGTTTCTTCTTTCCTCTTTGCTATTTCCTTCTATTTCTTTCGACCGAGTTGGTGCCTGCCTTTCATATTTCCTCTGGTGACTGATACTCATGGGCTCTCTGTTGCTGTCAAAGAGTGATCAGTTTACATGTGTGACGGTGGGGTTCATTGGAGGGAGATCAGGTGGCAACCAGACCCCCTTTTCTCAGAGGGTGCCCAGATGTCGTTATCTCTTGGATTCTGTGTTGTTAACTTGTTTGCTTTTGTTTCTTTCTTGGGCTGGTCATTTTCCCCTGAGAAGAATCCTCTTGTCACATGTTATCTGAAGACAAAAGCTCAGTGTTGTGGGTGTTGAGGAGGGAAGAGGCGGGGGGGCCTCATACTCTACCTCATGCCCTGTTTTGAGCACAGCTCTTCATCCTCACCCGCCCCTGTGCCTGTTGTCCCAGGCCCTTGACACCCCTCAAGTAGTTTCTCCGAAGCACATCCCCCCTGCTCCGCCAGGTGAAGGAGAGGTGGTCACCTGGCTCTCTTGGTGACTCACCTGGCTCACCTTGGCTCTCTCAGCGCATAAACTGCTCTCCTTAGTGCTCTTTCGAACTGTGTTCTTCTGTTCAGTGTTTGGTTCTCCAGCCCTCTCTGTTCCCCTTGCCTGGAGGCCGAAGCTTCCAGCTCCAGGGCTGGCCTGGGCTCTGCAGCGTGAATCAGCTTGCCTGTCGTTCCTGGCCCCTCTGCAGTTTGCTTTCTCTTCATCAGTTACCATTTGTCCTTGCGCTCTCCACTTCCTCTCTCTGTCTTTGTCTTTGTGGGTTTCTGTATTTTATGTTTTCACTCTTACATAGTTGGTGGGTCTTCTGGGGGAATGAAGATACACACGTGTGTTCGATCAGACATGTTTATGCTGAAGTGCTTGCGTCCTGCGGCTCTGCCATGGCTCTGTTATGCTTCTGTCATGCCTTCCACCTGCCTTGTTGACACGCGCCCCACACAGTTAGCTCTCGGCCTTTCTCTGTTGTTGTTGCTGATACAAAAGTGCCAGCCTCCCTGCTTCAGGATCAGGTGATTCCTTCGGAGGGGTTCAGACATTCTAGATCTTTGTTCTGCACCAGAAGTTCTGGAAGTTCTGTGAATTTGTGTCTTGCCCATGTTTTCCTGCTTCCTTCCCAGCCCTCTGTTGTGGGGTTTCTGCTAGAGTCTGACGTGCCATTTTACCTCGCGTTTCCTATCTCTTCTGAGCAGGGACGATTAATCTTTTTCCTCATCATTGGGCCCACCTCTCCTTGGGGATTCCCAGGGGCTCGGAGCGTTCTCTAACGACAGCTGATGGCTGCCGAGATGTTGATTCGTTCACACACCAAGGATTTTTCGCTTAAAGCAAAGGGAAGATAGGTGAGCACAGGACACTTCTGTTTTCAGAGCCTTTATACTGATTGGCACCTTGAACGGTATCAGCGCTTAATATGTTATTTTCATTATTACTTTATTGGTTATTATTTCCTTCCCGGTGGACTTAATTTAGATGCTTTCACCAGGTTACCAACTTGCAAGGGAATTTGAGATTTTCTCCAGAGTAGTTGGCTAAGGGATGAGTGATGTGTGTAGCGCCTGTTTACCGAATGCAGAGCACTGTGCCTGGTGAGGAGGGACCTGCAGAGATGGGAGACACGGTCCCTACTCCACTCACTCGGTTCAGGACCGAAGTCTTACCATCAGTAGTTGTCCTACACAGATGAATGCTACCGTCACAATGCAAACTGCTCAGTGGGCGTAGTGCGGAAGCAGGGACCTATCCTAGCATTGTGATTGGGAAAGACCAGAGAGGCTTGGACCTGAATCCGGTGGGCAGAAGTCAGACTCCCAAAGATCTGGGGTGGGGAAGGCCATGTCTAGAGACAGGCTCTCCCAGGGATGTGGCTCCCCGCTCACTGAATAGTCACCTTGATGTCCTCTTGTCCCTCATATGCCTTTCAGATGAGGTAAAGGTCGTACACATCCAGGGATATTTTTGAACTCTGTTTGCAAACCATATGTAATTCCAAATGTGCTTTTCTGTCTTAATGCTAATGCTGTTCTCTCGTTATAATATTGATGTTGTTTTCCTAGCCGCCGATTCTTATACATCGTTAATCTAGATGCCCCTTTCGAAGGCCACCGAAAGATCTCTCGCCAGAGCAAATGGGACATTGGAGCCGTGCAGTGGAACCCTCATGACAGCTTCGCACACTACTTTGCAGCCTCGGTGAGGTCATTTAAGGGGTACAAGGAAAAGGCTTTTTATAAGTATGAGCTGGGGCCGGTAGGTCTGTGTTCTATGTAGAGAAGAGAATGTAACCCTCACTTGTCAGGCGGAAAAGAAGTATGGATGGTTCTAAAAGGAAGATTGAGGCACATTGCTGACATGTATATACACGTGCGTGTGTTCGTAGATGGGAGCAGATTTGCTGGCACCCGTGGTACAGGATCTTGTGTTTCTGAGGCTCCACATTTTGAAAGGGAAATGAGTAGATGCCTCTGTTCCTCTGTGTGATAGGAACCTGTTTTCACTGGCAAGAAGGTAACTGGCTAGTGACTCTGACCTTCATTGCTTTTCGGAAGGATCAGAAGACTCCACACACCCTTCCACTCAAAGGAAGGGATTCAGGCTCGATTGGGATTTTATTAGATCAGCGAAGCCTCTGAGATTTTTATGTGCCTCTTTATCTGTGAATTTTTCCAGGGAAAATGTGCACACGTTTTACTAGGTTTTTCAAGGGATTCATGACTGAAAAAAGATCTGGGCTAGATCCATCTCTGGAATCTTTCGCCAGATTCTCTATTAGCATTTCTATTCTTCTAGAACAATTCGAAATCTAAACCTTTTGCTCTTTTGCATGGGGCCGGGAGGACAGTATTTAAAGGAAACCCGTCTTATCATCCAGGAGACGCAGCCATTCACGGGGCTGTCTGGGTCTTTTCTTATCAGAAATGACAGTCTGTGAGAGGAAAGCATCTGAGGAAAGAGAAAGAAGAGCAGTGTTGTCAGCTTCAGGAGGAACAAAAAGCTGCTCTTCCCCGTCATTTCCAAAATAGAATCTGACTGTCTCACTCTCACCATAGACATCTGAGGTGGAGCTGGTTTAGGGACTGTTCCAACGGAGAAACGGGGGCCAGTCTCCTGCTTTCCCATTCCGGACCCTTTCCTGGTGTGTTAGGAACAGTGCTCTTTTTGTTGGCTTCTACCTTTAGGACTTTCTTTCCCCTCTCACCCGCAGCCCCTGTTCATTTGGTCCGGGGGTCCTCAACCTGGATACTAGTGACATCTCAGGCTAGATAATTCTTTGTGGTGGGGGGTGTCCCCTGCATTGTGAGAGCTCCAGCAGCATCCCTGGCTCCCACCCGCAAGTCCCAGTGGCCTCCTCGTCTTTCCCCTCATCGTGACAACCGAAGATGCTTCCAGACATTGATAAATGTCCCTGGCAAGTAAACTTGCTCTGATGAGAAACCGCTGATTGAGGCTGACCAGTCAGTACTTGGCCAGAGTGGATTAGCCCTGCATTTGCTTACGAGTGGTGAGATAGTCCTTTTTGGGGTCGTGGGGGGAAACAGTTGTTTTCTTTTCTTTTTTCTTCTTAATTTCTTTTGGCAGTCATTTTAAAGTGGACAATTTAATGTCAGTTACTACGTTCATGATATATACAACCACACTCCTCTCTAGTTCCCAAACATTTCCATCACTCCGAAGTAAAACCCCTTACCATTCAACCATCTCTCTGAATTCCCCCTCCCCACAGCCCCTGGCAACCACCAGCCTGTGCTCTGTCTGTAGATTTATCTGTTCTGGATATTCCACATAAACAAAACCACACAATACGTGCCTTTTGTCTCTACCTTCTTTATTTCTGTTGTAGCATGAATCAGTGCTTTCCTCCTTTTTATGGCCAAATACTCTTCCATTGTACAGCTGTAATGCATTTTGTTTAATGGTTCTTTTACCCGTGGACATTTGGGCTGGCTGTTGTGAATAAAGCAGAAATGAACATGGGTGTACATGTGCTTCTTTGAGTACTTGTTTTCCGTTCCTTTGGGTATATACTTAGGAGTGGAATTGCAGGGTCATATGGTAAGTCTGTGTTTCACTTTTTGAGGAACCATGAGACTTTTCTATGGTAGCTGAATCGTTTTATAGTCCTACCAACAATGGGTGAAGGTTCTGGTTTCTCCATATCCTCACCAAAATTGTTGTTTTCTGTTGTTTTTCTTCTTTAGTTTTAATTTTTTTATTTTAAAAAATATTTTACTTATTTATTTGAGAGAGAGGGCATGCAAGAGAGCACAAGCAAGGGAGAGGAGTAGAGGGAGAGGGAGAAACAGACTCCCTGCTAAGTAGGGAGCCTGATGCAGCGACTGATCCTAGGACTGGAGGATTATGATCCAAACTGAAGGCAGATGCTCAACTGACTTAGCCACCCAGGTGCCCCTTTTTTCTTTAATTTTTAAGTTACAGCCATCCTAGTGGGTATAAAGTAGTATTTCACTATGGTTTTTGATTTGCATTTCCTTAATGACTAATGCTTTGAGCATCTTTTCGTGTGCCCTTTGGCTGCTTGCACATCTTTTTTGGAGAAATGTCTGTTGAAGTCCTTTGCTTATTTTGAAATTGGACTGTATGTCTTTTTGCTGCCGAGTTGTCAAAGTTATTTATATATTCTTGATACTAGACTCTTCTCAGAGATACAATTTTTTTTTAAAGATTGTTTGTTTATTCATTTGAGACGGAGAGATACAGAGAGATACAGAGAGAGAGAGAGCATGAGCAGGGGGAGAGGCAGAGGGAGAGGGAGAGGGAGAAGCAGACTCCCTGCTGAGCTGGGAGTCTGACTTGGGGCTCAGTCCCAGGATCCTGAGATCATGACCTGAGCCAAAGGCAGACACTTAACCATCTGAGCCACGCAGGCTCCCCAAGATAAGATTTTTTTTAAAGGTTTTATTTATTTATTTTAGACAGAGAGCAGGGAGAGGAACAGAGGGAGAGGGACAAGCAAATTCCCTGCTGAGCACAGAGCCCAACTCAGGGCTCAATCTCATGGCCCTGAGCTCATGACCTGAGCCAAAACCAGGAGTTGACTTATCTCACTGAGCTACTCAGATGCCTCAGACATATAATTTTCTTTTCATTTATTTTCTTTTTTTATTAAAGTTGGCCTTTTTTTTTTTTTTTTAAGATTTTATTTATTTATTTATTTATTTGACCAAGAGAGACACAGCGAGAGAGGGAACACAAGCAGGGGCAGTGCAAGAGGGAAATGCAGGCTTCCCACCCAGCAGAGAGCCCGACTTGGGGCTCGATTCCAGGACTCTGGGATCACAACTTGAGCCGAAGGCAGATGCTTAAGGAGTGAGCCATCCAGGCCCCAGAGATATGATTTTCAAATATGTCTCTAATTCTGTAGGTCGTCTTTTTACTTTTTTGATAATGTCCTTTGATATATTGAAACTTTTGATTTTGATGAAGTTTAATTTATTGATTTTTTTGTTTTATTGCTGTTGGTTGGACGACAGCGTTTTTCAGGAGAAAGAGCTTTGGAGTTACGGACATCTGAGGTCAAGGCCTAGTTTTGACACTATTTTATCTCTAGTGCTCTCCCAGCTCTCCAAGCCTCAGCTGCCTCCCTTGTAAGGTGGGTGATGGCAGCCAGTCTGCATATATGGTGAGGGAGAGCAGGAAGCAGGGCTCTTAAGATTCCTAGGACGTAGACTCCCAGAGCTGCCCAGTGGAGATGGGGTAGTGTTGTAAGATGAGGGGAGCTTCACTTCTCATTCCTGTTCTCGTTGGAAGCTGTTTTGAATCCTAACCTTTAGACTGGGAACCTTATCTATTTAGAATTGGAAACTGGCATTTCTGGATTAAAACCTTAGAACTTTGTACATCTGTCTATCTCTGAGCCTAAAATGAAAATCAGTCTGGTAATATACAGATATTAATGTACCTGCATCTTCTGTATCTGTTCAGAAATTATTAGATAACTATTAGTAATCAGACTTATAATCTTTGTTCACTTTTGGTGTGTTTCTTAAGCTCTTGATATTTTCTTTTCTTTTTTTTTTTTAAGATTTTATTTATGTATTTGACAGAGAGAGATCACAAGTAGGCAGAGGGGCAGGCAGAGAGAGAGGAAGAAGCAGGCTCCCCGCTGTGCAGAGAAGCCCAATGTGGGGCTCGATCCCAGAACCCTGGGATCATGACCTGAGCCAAAGGCAGAGGCTTTAACCCACTGAGCCACCCAGGCGCCCCAAGCTCTTGATATTTAAGTATTTGCTGGCTGGTTGTTTCTTTTAGTGAAACATGGCTTTTTCTTTTCTCCTTTCCCTATTGTAGTATGGTTTCTTCTGGACAGTTTTTTCCCCGTGTCTTTTTACTTAACCCTTTAAGAAAGTATAGGCATATTTCAAGGAATCTGTATAATTTTGCCTCCTAGGACATGCCTTTGGTGTTAGTTCTGTTTACTTTTTCGTGCGTATGTGTTTTTAAAGCGTGGCGGAAGGACTCCAGGCATTTGATAAGTGGGAAAGGCGAACTAAAAACATCTAGTGTGACAGCAGCTGGAGAGATGGGTGTGTGACCTTCCGAGTTGGGAGGCGGTCCCTCTAGCGGCCAGGAACATCTCCATAAGCCATTGCTCATGCATTCAGTACTGCCTCTGTAGCTTCTGTTCAGCTGTACCTGTTCAGGGTATCTTTACTCTGAAGATAGCACTGCCCTTTAGTGCTGTGGACTGAGCTAAGGGTGGCTCAGATGTTAAGTGTATTCATTTCTCTTGGCTTCATAAGGAAGTCAGTCTGTAAATCTCTGCCATGCGAGTTGGTTTCTTCGTGGCTTTCCCTTCTCAGCCCTCGGCAGATTGCGGTGAGAGCACATGTTCTGATGTGCTCCTGGCTGCCTTCTTTCCCTTGTTTCTTCTCAGAGTAACCAGCGGGTCGACCTTTATAAGTGGAAAGATGGCAGTGGGGAAGTTGGCACCACCCTACAAGGCCATACTCGTGTCATCAGGTAGGTACCAGCCCTCCGCAGCTCCTGGCCTGTCTCCCTTTGTTGTAGTCTCATGGGAACTAAAACGAAGACACCGTCCTCCTTGCATGGCCTGACCCTCTGTGTTGCGTTGTGATGGCCCTCATAGCCAAGATCAACCAGCTTTGGTGTAACCACTAACCCCGATCCCAGGAGACCTTCAAGACAGATACAGCCCAGTCTGGAGTGAAGGATTAGAGCTGATCTTTTACCATGGAGGGAGCTAGCAGAATTACTCCGCTGACAACCGACAGTGCCCAGGAGTACAGAAAGCAGGACGCAGCCCTTTGCTTTTTCTTCAGCCGCTTGGGGCACAGATCTCCTGCAGCAGAGTCCATTACCCAGCTGCATGGTCACCTCCTGCCTGTGGCCTTGGCCTCTGGAGTGTTCCTTGATCCATCCTGTCCTTAGGTCCCTATTTCTGGGTGGGGAATGCTCCTTCTGGGAGGTAGCAAGCAGAGAGTGCAGGAGTGGGGCAGCTGGCCCAGGAAATGCTGGGAAAGGCTGGATCCCTGGCCTGTGTTAATTGCACAGGAACCGCCTTTCTAGGAGGGGGGACATGGGTAGGGTGGCCTTGCCCTTCTTGAAAGCTATGTGGCAACGTCGCAGTTTGCCACTGCTCTAAGAGATGTTGGTTTTACTCAAGGTACCTGTGGTTGAACCTGATTTAGAGAATGATAAGTCAAAAATTACTTTGTGTTTTTGCTGTGTGTGCACGCGCACATGCACTTGAAATTGAAATCCTCCATTTCTTTTTTGGGAGCAGGTGATAGTATAGCTGGGGATGACAGGGAGGAGGGCCTGGAAGTTTCCCCTGGTGCTCACTTAAGTCTTGTTTAGAGAAGTTTGGAGATTGCTGCCTTAAGTCATGTTAGGGAGGCCTATGAGTGGTGACTCTCGGAAGCTACTAGAAACTGAGTCTGTTGGCACTTTGGAACTGAACTCTGAATTGTTTTGTTTATATCTCATATTCCCAGTGACTTGGACTGGGCCGTGTTTGAGCCGGATCTCCTGGTTACCAGCTCCGTGGACACCTACATCTACATTTGGGATATCAAGTAAGAACAATTAAAATTCCAAACCACCAGGCTTTGGGACGATCTGGGACCTTTGTTTTAGAGATCAGGGGTCTTAGTTTGGTTTCCCTGGGATGCGGACCCTGAGATGAGGACGCGTGGCCGGCACATTGTTTAGGAGGTGACAGAAATGCCGGTGGGGGATAGAGAAGAGAGACAGGACCAGGAAGGCTCCAGGCAGGGGCATGTTATCCTTCAGGTACCCCTGTGAACAGGTGGCGTTTACTCCTACTGGGGGCTGCTAGGTGCTAGTGCAGAACTCCCTCCTTGGAGGTGTCCCACCCTCAAGAGCTAAGGAAGTGGGGGTGCCATCCATTGGCAGTCATTGGTTGAAGCCTGTGCCCTGGGCCCCCCCTTCCCTGGCACTTCAGGCCCGTCACGGAGGTTTGCAAAGCAGGCCTCAGCAAGCAGGGAAATCACTCTGGCGGAGAATTAGGTGCTGGTGTCTGGAAGTCCAGTGGAAGTTTAACTGAAGTGACAGGTGACAGTGGGGGGGCTTGGTGGGTACACACACATATGTGCTATGGCAGGCAGTGCTCTAAGGCACGTCTGCTTTGCTCTTGGCGAAACTTCCATCGCCCACCTGTAAGTGCCACTGAGAGCCACCTCTCAGGGTTACTCTTCATGAGGTGACAAGTGAAGGAGCACCCGGCCTGGGGCCTGGCGTGTCGGAAGTTCTTAGTAAACATCTTTTCTTCTCCCTTCGTAGAGCAAAGTTCCCTTTGCCATAGCAGCTGCGACTAACCAGAGGGTGTAGTCCGTACAGTCCCCCAGACAGGACCCCCTCCCGCCGGCAGACTGCTCTGCTCCCAAATGGCAGGGGCCCTGGGATGATTTACTCTAAGAGGTGGACAGACCAGGGAAAGGGAGCCACGACTCAGGATGTGCGTGGCGGACTTCACCCACAACCCTCTCTCGTTAGTGCCTCAGTGGCAGTTGGTCTAATGGCAGCACCGAGTGGGGAAGGGCACAAAATCCGGGGGTGATGGGAGGAGGCTGCTCTTAAATAAACAAAACCCCAGGGGGCACCTGGATGGCTCAGTCGGTTAGGCCTCTGCCTTCAGCTCATGTCATGGTCCCAGGGGGCTGGAATCGAGTCTTGCATCGGGCTCCCTGCTCAGCGGGAAGTCTCCTTTCCCTTTGCCTCTCCTCTGCTTGTGCTAGCTCGCTCACTCTCTCTCTCTGACGAATAAATAAATAAAATCTTTAAAACAAACAAACACCAAAACAAAACCCCCAGGAACTACAGGGCAAGGTTAGAGTATTCCTCACTGATGTGAAATAATTTGTTTTCATAATTTAAAGATTAAGGGACACTGAACAGATGATTCCTTCTCAGGTTTTCTGGATAGTAAGCCTGAGCTGCAGATTGGCCATCCATCTCCTAGGTCTGGATTGACGCCCAGTCCTGTCACGTTACCATTTGGAGGTGAAGTCGCCCTCTGGCTTTACAGTGAACCCAGGAGTCTCTCTCTGAGTCTCCTGTTCTATCCAGGAGTAGGTTTTTGTTTTGTTTTGTTTTGTTTTGTTTTTGTTTTGTTTTTAATTGTGGTCAAAAAACCCAAAACATAAAATTTACCATCTTCATCATTTTTTAAAAAAAGATTTTATTTATTTACTTACTTATTTAGAGAGCAAGGGGAGGGGAAAAGGAAGAGAGAGAAAATCTCAAGGAGGCTCCACACCCAGCTGAGAGCCTGATGAAAGGCTCTGTATTGGGACCCTGAGATCATGACCTGAGCTGAAATCAACAGTTGGTCAGTCGCTCAGCCAATGGAGCCACCCAGGCGCCCCAATCCTTGCCATTTTTTTTTTTTAAGATTTTATTTATTTATTTGACAGATAAAGATCACAAGTAGGCAGAGAGGCAGGCAGAGAGAGAAAGGAGGAAGCAGGCTCTCCGCTGAGCAGAGAGCCCGACGTGGGGTTCGATCCAAGGACCGTGGGATCATGACCCGAGCTGAAGGCAGAGGCTTAACCCACTGAGCCACCCAGGCGCCCCAGATCCTTGCCATTTTTAAGTGTGCAGTTCAGTAAAGTGTATGCCCAGCACATCCCCAGAACTTCTCATCTTACAAAGCTAAAACTACTCATTCCACACCTTCCCACTTTCTATTTCTGTGGATTTGACTACTTGAGATACTTCATATAAGTGGACGTGAAATCATGTGGTGTTTGTCTTTTTGTGACCGACTTATCTCACTTAACCTAATGTCCTCAAGGGCTGTCCCTATTGTAGCTTGTGACAGAACTTCCTTCCGTCTTCAGGCTGAATAATATCCCGTTGTATGTATAGACCACATTGTGTTTATCCACTTCTCTGTTGGTGGACCCTTGGGCTGCTTACCCCTCTTAGCAACTGCGAATTTGAGAGTCACCTTTTACTTCAGCTCTGAAGTCCTGCCGGGAAGGTCCTTGCAGAGTTAAGCCTCCATGACTGTCACTTCGTTGCCACTAGGAGAAATGGCCCCGGGAAGGGATTCTTTTGGCTTCTTCCATCCCTACGTCAGGGTCACGCAGGCCATGCTGAATCATGTAGTTCGCTTTCTGTGGCTTCAACTATGTGATTTGAAATTCAGCCTCAGCCTCATTTGAAGGAGGTGAGAAAGTTTGTCCCTGAAGGGAGATAAGGCTCTCTTTACCTTTGTTTTTAAGGCCCTCGTGTTCCCTCTGAACTCTAAGCTCCCACTGAAGGGGGAGGGAGAACTGTGTGCAGAGGGCAGAAAGTACCAGGGTGGTGTCATATGGATCGGGCATTTGATCTCTGACTTTTCTATTCCAGAGACACAAGGAAGCCCACGGTTGCACTGTCTGCTGTAGGTAAGTGTATGCTCCCCCCTCTTAGGTCATTACTTCCGTCCCTTCTCGCATGGGGCTGCCCCTGCCCCAGTCTCCGGCTCAGATGGGTGGGATTTTAGGTCCCTCCTGGCAAGGGGCTTGTTTTAGGCTGCTCTCGGAAGTTAGAGTCAGGAGTGCTAAGCATGGTCAGGAACTCATTTCAGGATTCAAGGACAGGAGCCAAAATGGTTTGTTTTTAAACTTTTTATTGTGGAAAATTTCAAACACGTATGAAAATAGAAGATGAAATTGCTTTATGTTCACGATCCAGCTTCAACAATAGTCACTGGCTGGCTAGTCTTATTTATTTCATCCTTACCTCTACCCACTGTCCCAGCCCCAACTCCCATCTCTTTTGGGTTGATTTTGAAGGGGTGCCTGGGTGGGGTGGCTCATTTGGTTAAGGGTCCAACTCTTGATCTCAGCTCAGGTCTTGATCTCAGTGTTGTGAGTTCAAGCCTCACATTGGGCATGAAGCCTGCTTTTAAAAAAAAAAAAAAAAAGAATTTTTTTGAAGCATTTCCTGGGTGTCATATCATTTCCTCAATGAGTATTTCAGTAGGTGATATTTATGCAAGAGAAGAACCCTGTAAGAAAAGATGATCACAATACCATAAGCGGGCCTAAAAAGGTTAACAGTGGCTCTTTAATATCAGATATTTAAGCAGTACGCAGATTTCCCTAATCTCAGTTGTTGTTATTTTACAAATTATTTAAGTCAGAATCCAAATAAAAAACATACTTATAAGTGGTTGTTATATTTCTCATCTTTTACAATTGGTAGGTTTCTTCCCCCTCTCCTTTTTTGGTTTATTTTTCTTTTCCTAAAGTTTATTTATTGAGGAAACCAGGTTGTTTGTCTTATGGTTTCCCCATAATCTAGATGAGGCTGATTGTGTCTCCCATGTTGTCATTTAATGTGGATGTACTGAAACTTCGAAATTACTTCCCGGTCCCCCTGTTTTCTCAGTTGGAACTGATTGTTTTGGAATTCTGCTTTGGGGCTATTGTGGGGTATTTACAGAGAGTAGAATTTGGGCCCAGAAATGGTGTATCTTATGGTGATGAAGCCCAGTCATCAGCATTGTGTTTTGAAGATTTATTCATCTATTTTTGGAAAGAGAGAAAGAGTGGGGCAGGGGCAGGGACAGGGAAGAGGGAGAGAATCTACCAGACATCTGTATTGAGCCCAGACCCCAACGCAGGGCTCGATCTCAAAACCCCGAGATCATGACCTGAGCTGAAACCAAGAGTTGGTGGCTTAACTGACTGCACCACACAGGTGTCCCATCAGTATTGTATTTTGACATCTTTGTTAAAAATATACATTATCTGTCTCTTAAATCCTGCTCCTTTGTATTTTTTTGGTACTTTTTTCTTTTTTTAAAGATTTCATTTATTTATTTCCAATAGAGCAAGAGCAAGTGACACAGAGAGCAAGAGTGAGAAAGCACAAGCAGGGGGAGTGGTAGAGGGAGAGGGAGGAAGCAGGCTCTCCTCGGAGCAGAGAGCCCGATGCAGGGCTCGACACCAGGACCCCGGGATCATGACCTGAGCCGGAGGCAGAGGCTTAACCCACTGAGCCACCCAGGCGCCGCTCAGTGAGATTTCTCAGTGGTAGCAAAGCTGCTTTGGGAGAAAAGAGGCTAATGAGATGCTGTGGATTTGGTGAGCTGCTTGATCTACCATTCCCTGAAGGTGAAACTTGGCCAGTTTTGCTCCCTGGAGTCTGTGGTCCTTTATCTCTCCATGAGCACGTTGCTTATGCCTTTGGGGTAGGGAGTAAGTAGGAGCCTGTGTGTACTCCAAACTATTCTCTGTTCGAGAATACCCAAGGTCTGGGAACTGTTTGACCCTGTTGTCGCAACTCTAGTAGATTGAATCAGGGGTTCCCAGAACCCTTTGGCAGTCCTCATGGTCTGATGGCCTCCACACTGGGGAAAGTATATTTCTTTTGGAAGTCTTCGAGTAATCTGTCTTGAGGAAATGGGGCAGACTCTTCCTACTCACTTTCTCCTGCAGTTGATACCCTTTCTTGCAAAGAAACTGGGTCTCCTACGCTAGCTTCCTCCTTTAGGGTTCTCCACTGTTCATTCCTAGGTGACTTAAGATGCCTTGTGTCTCAAGCAAAAAAACACAAAAAGCAAAAGCCAAGCAAGGATAACTTCTGGGTCTTAACTCCATTTCCTGTTAGATTCTGAGTCCTTGTTGTGTCATTCCCACTCTTCTTGGATCAGGGCACCACAGTCCCCAGTAATAAACACCCCACCTAAAGGGAGAAATGCTTGTGGTCTGAGCAAGGACAAGGAGAGATGGGAAGGAGAGCCATTGTGTTGTTCTGGTGTAACTGAATGAACTTGGTTATTTTTCAGAGCCAACTACCAGTGCTGATACGTCCTAGATTTTCACAGGTCTCAGCCCGTCTAGCATCTTACGCTAATGCCTCCTCTCAGATAGCTCCCTTCTTACTGTTGTTACCTCTTTGTGTTGGCAGAGTGGGGAAAGGACTCAGTTCATAGTGTGGGGGGATATTCCCGTTCTCTGACTGAATCCAGGATTCTGACTGAATCATGTGCAGCCGCTGATGGGAGGGGAGCGCGCAGGAGGGGGCTGGTGCACATATCCTTCTGAGGGCAGAATTGGGCAACTCGGGGCCTTATTCTTCAGCTGAGCTTCGGGAACCTTTGTTTCTCCAAGGTTACCCTCCGAAATAGGGGAGTGAGGGAGGAAGGAAGTAGGTGGGAGCCAGCATTGAGCTGAGGCTCTTCTGAGTGGGAGAGCTGGGCTGGCCCCGGTGTTGGGGATGAGGAAGAGACAGACCGCGTGAGGAGTAGTCATTTCCTCCCCCCACCCCCCGTGGTGCCATGTTGGGCTGCTGCTCATTAGAAAACGTGCTTCCCTGCTGATTCTGTGCGGAGGTCACGAGTAGGGTTTTTTCCTGAGTGCGATTATTTCTTCAATTAGGTGACTCTGATCCTGTTCTGATGAGTTAATTCATTAATTTTTTGGCTTCATTTTCTCTTTAATGTGGGGCTGGTGCAGTCACAGGCACTTGACGGGTTCTGTTCTCCTTCAGCGGGAACTCATTATCCAGCCGCCCTGGAAGCGCTCTCTACTCTGGTGCCAGGGGGCTTGAGGGCAGCCGCTTTCTTCCCCTGATTTTCCTTTGCAGCTGGTGCCTCACAGGTCAAATGGAATAAAAAAAATGCTAATTGCCTCGCCACCAGTCATGATGGGGATGTGCGGATATGGGACAAGCGGGTGAGTAATCTCTTGTCTCCCACCCCAGTTGGTCCTTAGTCCCTCCCCGGGGGTGTGAGGACGGTGCTGTGAGTAGCAGGACTCATCTAGAAAGGCCAGGGTGCCCCGTGCACTGCAGCAAATTGCCATTTTAAGATCATAGTCCCGGAAGACATGTGCTTCCTGATCAAAACTGATGTTGAAGGAAGATAGAGAGTATTAGGATCAGTGGTTAAGAAAATGAACTGGGCCTGCTAAGTTAGAGCCCCATTTTGCTACCTCCTAATTACATTATCAGCTGAGCCACTACACTTCTCCAAGCCTCGGTTACCTGATCTTCAAAACGAAGATACTGATAGTGAGTGTGTCACTGAGGAGGTCAAACCCAGGGACCAGACACTATTCTAGAAGGTCAGTGCTCCGGCTTGCAGAGTGCAAACTAGTTGTTCTAGGACATATTCCACCTTGGGTGTTTCTGGTAGAAATCACCAAGGCGAGGTACTTAGGGTGCTCAAATCCTCCCTTAGACATCCAGCTGTCCTCTCAGCCTCACAGAAGCTCGCAGAGCGTATATTCTCCCTGCACAACCCGTGTACCGGGTGGGCACGGGAGAAGGGCAGGCCCCCGGTGGCTGCCGCTGTGGAGAGTCTATTGAGAGTTTGGTTTGTTGGCATCGGTGAGGACAGAGATGCGGGAAAATGCTCCCCCGTGTCCGACTCCCAGATGATGAGGTCATAATGCACGGGGCAGTTGACTTTGTAAGATGTGGGTGTCATGCCACTTCCTGCTTTCCGACGGTGGAGGCTAGAGCTGCTCAGCTCCTGTGGGAAGCAGCCACTTGTAGTTTTCCCGAAACTGTCAGCCGGGATGCGGTCTCATCCCAGCACGGCTTCTGGCAGCCCTGTCCCTTCCCTTGTGGCAGGGATTTGGTCAGATGGTTGGGCAGAGGAGAAGGAAATGAAGCAGATGGGGGGTCGGGTGAAGTGGGTGCTACAGCTTTCTAGGGAAGCTTGGGCTGGCTGAAGCCCTCTGCCTTCCGTGGCTCTTGGGTGAGAAGGTGACTTTGTACATAAGGGTTGGATGGGTACGTCTTCTATGTGTTAGTTTTTGTCTCTGTCCCTTAGTGCGGTCTCATATTAGCCATTCTCCCCTCTCTTGATTCCCTAAAGTGGTGATTGGTTTTGTTTCTTTCATCACTAGTATAGTGTTTAAATATGTAAATGGCTTAAATAAAACATTTGGTTAGTTTGTAGTGCATACAGACTTGGCTTTAGACTGTTTTCAGGCCATCAGCAATATAAACCATTTGGTAGTTTGCCCTTAATTCCTGTCAGTACTTGTCTTCTGAACTAGTGTTGAAAAACTAGTAGTGTTCCTTATCTTCCAGAAAGAGACGGCCAGACTGTTCCTGCCTAGTCTTCCTGTCAGTCTACTGAGAATCCTGACTTCCCTCAACAATTTTATCTGTTTTGTTTAAAGGATTTTAACTCCCCCTGCCACCCATAATTAATACTTGGGACTTTTGCTCAGAGGGGTTGTAAAACTCGTAGGTCATATTTTTACTTCTCTGGCACTTTCCAGTATCGAAGTAGCACTCTTGGCACCAGGCATCAGAGGCTTAAAAAAGTGCAGTATCAGTGGCAATGTTGGATTTCATTCAAACACCCCAAAGACGAATAATAGTAACATTTACTACATGTTTTTTATGCACAGGCATTGTCCTAAGAACTTGCTTTATAACTAGTCTTTAAAGTAAGTACTGTCTTTATCCCCATTCTACAGATGAGTAAACTGAGGCCTGTTTGTTGTTGGGATTTGAACTCAGGGAGGCTGGCTCTGAAGATTGCTCTTAACCTCACAGACCAGCACTGATTATAGAAGTAATACATGCTCTTTGTAGAAACTGTAGAAGAGAAAATAAAAAACATTCATAGGCCCATTCCCCAAGAACAAATGCTAGCATTTTGGTGTTTTTTTGTGCTTTTTAAAAAACATGGTTTATCCTGTTACATACATGGTCATAGATACTTTTTCCATTTAATAGCATTTTCCCTGTCCTATAATCCCCGTGTCTAACATTTACTCACTCTGCCATACTATGTTGGATAGCTGTACCGTAGTTGATCTAAAATTTAATTATTCCTCATGTACTGTTTGTGTTGCTTCTAGTTTTCTGGTATTCCCAGTATCACCAAGATGAACATCTTTAGTTATCTAAAGCTTTTTGTGAAATTTGAATATTCTCCTAGGAAAGGAAAATCTTAAGTTGCTTGGTAAAAATTGTCAAAGGTTTTTGCCGAAAGGTTGTACTATTTTGTATAAACACCAGCAGTGACAAATGGAGCCTTGCCAGTGTCGAGTATTATTTACAAGTATCTTCTAATTTGATAGTTTAATAAAATCTGACTTTAATGTATATTTCTGAGGTTTCCTCCCGAGTTTGCTTATTTTATATAAGCTTATTAATCATGAAGAGTTATCTTTTGTGATGTGTGTTCATTCTCTTTGGGGGGTCTTGGTGCACGATTACTTTAAGATTGGTGGTTTTCCCTCTGGTCTCGAGGTGGGGTCTGTCTGAACTTCGCAGCCCCTCTCCTTGGGTGATAGCGAGGAAGGGGAGTGGGGATTGCAGACTCCACTAGTCAGCGGAAGAGCTCCCACTACCCGGTGTCCTTCATTAAAGCCATGCCTGGGGCTGGAGCAGAAAGAAATGAAGTTCACAGGCCCGAATACAGAGCATGTATGAAGGAGGGTTGGAGAAGACTTTCTCTGTTTTGTTTGTTTTAAACAAAACAAAGTGGAGTTTCCTAAGGATAGAGACAGTATCTGGTGTCTTGTGTTTCTGTGTCCCCACCCAGCCCCCAGCAGACCATTCTATGGTAGACACTCAGGGAGCTCTTTATAAATTGACAACACTCTGCCAATCCTGTCGTAGAAACCCAGCACGGCGGTAGAGTATCTCGCAGCGCACCTCTCCAAGATCCATGGCCTGGACTGGCACCCAGACATTGAGCACATTCTTGCTACCTCCAGTCAGGACAACTCTGTCAAGGTGAGTGACCCCCGGGGACAGCTGGGGGCACTGCGTGCGGGAAGCATTAGATTTTGAAGCAGCACCTCGTTTGGAAGGAAAGCTACGCCAAGCACAGCGTGTGTGCTGTTGGGGTTCCGGGCAGGTAAGCCTGGTCGTGTGGGCCAGTAGGAACGAAGAGTAGCATATCTCTGATAGGGTTCCCGGGATCTGCTTGGAGCTTTTTCTTCTTTCCATTTGTGAAAGGAAGTCGGAGACTAAACCATTTAGAAAGGAGACGTTTATTTGCCAAGAAGTTGCCAGGAAATCAGATTGCAGGGGAAAAAAAAAAAAAACCACCACCACCACACCAAACCAAACCAGATATATCATAAAGGAGAAAAGCTGATATTGTTTTTGTTAAGGTTAAGGTTAACAAAATTGTTAAGGTTACCAAGTTTCTTACTAGACTCCCTGGGATGGAAAACCAGCACTCTTCGAATATGATTATCCCATCCACAAAAGTTAGGACATCTTCAGCCAGCAGTACTGCAAAAGTCAGGGACAGGGGCACCTGGGTGGCTCAGTGGGTTAAGCCTCTGCCGTCGGCTCAGGTCATGACCTCTGGGTCCTGGGATCGAGCCCCACATCTGGACTCTCCACTCAGCAGGGAGCCTGCTTCCCCCTCTCTGCCTGCCTCTCTGCCTACTTGTGATCTCTCTCTGTCAAATAAAGAAATAAAATCTTAAAAAAAAAAAAAAAAAGTCAGGGACAGAGTTGACAGAGAGTCTCTCTCACTTACAGGAAATGCTCCAGCTTTATGTGTTTCTGTAACCCTATTATTTTGGTTTATCTCAGAGTGCAGCATTTCTTGTTTGTTTTTCCTGTCCTGACTGATGCGTTTAGAAGGATGCAGGGCACAGGGCCAGCCTCATTCCACAGGCCCTCCTTGTGGTCAGGTCTCTGGAAGGACAGAGATTTGACCACACAAGTTGGCTTAGCAATTTTCTGATTCAGCATCATTAACGTAATGATTTGTTTACATGGGCACACAGACAATGTCATTTTATGATATGGTGAGCAAAACTAGAACCATAAGACCGAAGCCTGAAAAGTTAACTTCTGTCTTGAGGTTTGTAAATCCCTTAGGGTTGTCATTTACTTTTATGTGCTGGAATGGGTTTTTTTGTTTGTTTATTTGGGGCTTGGATTTTTGGCACCTTGTCACCCAAGTTCAGAACCCAGAAACCATCCAGTTCCCCTCCTCCTCTTTCCTCAAGTTTGTCCTGTTCAGCGACATCTTTACTACCCGTAGGCTGGATTCCGTGGGTATTGAAGCAGGCAACAGGTCAGTTTCCACATGTGAGACTCAGTCTTTGTTCCTTACTTGTAGGCTGAGCTTAGGAATTAAATGAGACTTTTGACATGGTATTTAATTTATTCCACCATATCCTGGTGGAAGGAAGGCGTTTCTGTTGAATGTATATAAATAGCATAATTGTAATTGAAGCCGTATCAGAGGTACTTGCATAATATTCAACCATATTTTTTAGTAATTGGTATGTTAGTATCAATATGTCATTTTTTCCTACATAATCGTTTTCTTTTTTTTTTTTTTTTAAGATTTTATTTCTTTATTTGACAGATAGAGATCACAAGTAGGCAGAGAGGCAGGCAGAGAGAGAGGAGGAAGCAGGCTCCCTGCTGAGCAGAGAGCCTGATGTGGGACTTGATTCCAGGACCCTGGGATCATGACCTGAGCCGAAGGCAGAAGCTTTAACCCACTGAGCCACCCAGGCGCCCCTGTAGTAACACATTTTTATGATATTTTTGTTTTCTGAATTAAAGGGGTACGCCGGAACAAGATACAACTGAATGTTTCACCTGAGTTTGTAAATTGTTAAACTGTGAAACTGTTGAATTGAGGGTTAGAGCTAGATTGAGAAGAAAGAAAAGGATTTTTCTTATCTGGCTATTAAAAATAGAACATTAACCACAATGAGATGACTTCATACCAGTTAATGATTGTTTTTGTCCCTGATCTTGGGCTAAGCAGTCAAATTTATGATATTGCCTTCTTCTAGACGAGCAGCCCTGGAAATCCAGACACAGATCCTTAGTCCATCCTTACAGATGTGTGTCTGCCTCTGGGTCAAGGTCAGCCTAACTGAGAGTCCTGTACCCACAAGGCTGTTCAAAAACCTGGTTCTTTCTTGCCTGAGGCTCTTCTGATATTTCTTCAGAAGCTTTCCTTTCTGATCTGTAACTTGTAGCAAGGGTCTCTTGGCAAGCAAGAGAAAAGCAGAGATCACCTATGGGCGAGAGTATGGCATGGCTGCTCTGGTACTTTGACTAACCAGTCTGTCAGATTAAATAGACTGAAGCCATTCACATGCAGCATATCATCATTTCATAAGACTGACAGTGGTTCCTTCGAGAGTAAGATCATGTTATGAAATGAGTGAGGACTCGGTTCAATCCCCAGGGTCCTCTAACTTGTTCCATAATTATATGTTGTTATTATATGTTATAATACTCACTAGTCGAGCATATTTAAATCTGGAAACATCCTTTTTTTTTTAAGATTTTATTTATTTATTTGACAGAGAGAGATCTCAAGTAGGCAGAGCTGCAGGCAGAGACAGACGGGGGAAGCAGGCTCCCCGCTGAACAGAGAGCCCGATGTGGGGCTTGATCCCAGGACCCTGAGATAATGACCTGAGTTGAAGGCAGAGGCTTACCCCACTGAGCCACCCAGGCGCCCCCATCACTGTAGTTTTGTCGTTTTGAGAAGGTCATTTAAATGGAATAATTCAGTATGTAACTATCTGAGTTGGTTTCTTCCATTCAGGATAGCACCTTCAAGATTCATCCAAGGTACTTCAAGAATCGATAGATCATATACTTTTAGTTGGCGAGTGGTAATCCACTGTATGGACATACTACGGTTGATCATCTGTTGCCCCGTTGAAGAACATTGACTGGGCTGTCAGCAGTTTTTGATGATTGTGAATTAAGCTGCTATAAACATTCACGGATAGATTTTCCTGCGAATGGAACTTTTCACTTTTCCAGGACAAATAGTTAGGAGTTGGGATCAAAGGCATATGGGTCAGTGGGTCAATGGCGTATGCGTGTTTAACTTTTTAAGAAACTGCCAAACTGTCATCTACTTTTGAGAATAATTTCTTAATACTGGAATAGCGCAGAGTTGCAGTCTTGGTCCTCCTGCCTTTGGTGCTATACGGTTTCCTGCTTCACAGCCGAGGCTCAGGCTCCAAGTATAGTTGTGTCCCTTCATTGAAAGCGCAGGCGTCCCTAAGGCGGAGTGTGTCTGGCTCACCTCTGTGCATTTCGCAATCTCGAGTTCCGCATGGTCAGTGGCAGAGCGGGTGACCGTGTATGTGAGTGCGTTGGTGTCCAAACAGCCACCTCTTCCCTGTGGGACCTTGGGCAAGCTGGATTGTTTCGTCATTTAGCTTCTACATTTGAGAAATAACTGAATGACATCCTTAATTTGGTTGTTGCAAAGATTAAATGGGATAACAAAACCTAAAGCTCTCAGCTCGTCTGAAATGCAGTAAGTAGTTAGCACATTGTCTGTCGTTAGTTCTTATTTTGCCCTGCATGGTATAAAAGTGACACAGGGGGAAAGCTTGTCACTCTGACCTTTCATCTCTAGGCCCGTTTAATAGGCGGGCTGAAGCTGATTGGTCCCAAGGGCTGGTCCTGGTGATGTTGGGAAATTCTCCTGTAATGTTGATATATAGGAAAGGTTTGTGTGTCTGCCCTGCTCCCCTGGCTGGCAGCGCTGCCCGGGACACACCGAGGACAGAGAGTGGAGGGTCCGCAGGCTGTGCTTATTTCAATTGTTTTTTTGTTTTGTTTTTTTTTTTAAGATTTTTATTTATTTATTTGACAGACAGAGATCACAAGTAGGTGGAGAGACAGGCAGAGAGAGAGATGGGGAAGCAGGCTGCCTGCTGAGCAGAGAGCCCGATGCGGGGCTCGATCCCAGGACCCTGAGATCGTGACCTGAGCTGAAGGCAGAGGCTTAACCCACTGAGCCACCCAGACACCCCAGTTGTTGGGTTTTTTAATGGCATCTGTTTAACAAATTACCCTGTTTTCTTTCTTCTAGTTCTGGGATTACCGCCAGCCTCGGAAATACCTCAGTATTCTCCCTTGCCAGGTGCCTGTCTGGAAGGCCAGATACACTGTGAGTGGGACACCCCACCTCCTGCTGGGGAGCTTCCCCTTAGTGTCCAGACATGGGGGTCAAGGACCCTTTTCTCTTATTTTCTTTGTGAGGCAGTTTCTCTTTCTGTCTTGGCTGAGGGGTGGGACAAAGGCAGTAATGATGGCATAAAAGCTGGTATGTATTTAAAAACTTGTCCTTGAAATGTTGGGGAACAACCTGTGCAAGAGCTGCTGACCATAGCCTGGGAGGCCGGGCCCCTGGAGGTGGTCACTACTGGCAGGGAAAGCGGGGGACACGGGGCCAGAGGGTTTGCGGCTTGCAGTCAGTGGACCATGGTAGAAAGAAATCTGGCTTTAGATTCAGAAGACCTGGGTTTTGGGCCCGTTGGTGCCTTTTAATTTTTTCCCAACATTTATTAAGATGTAATTGACCTGTAGCATTGTGTAAGTTCAAGGTATACCCCCATGGATTTGATATTGCAAGACTGTTAGTGCCCCAGGGTTGGCTGATACCTCTGTCACATCACGTAATTGCCATTTCTTTTTTGTATTGAGAACATTTAACATCTACTTTCTTAGCAACTTCCAAGAATATAATACAGTGTTATTAACAATCATCCCCGGGCTGTGTATTCGATCCCCTGAACTTGCTCATCTTCGAACTGGAAGTGACTGAGCCACCCAGGCACCCCTTTATTCATCCATTGATGGACACTTAGATCACTTAGATTGTTTCTGTATTTGCAATGAGCCATTTAATCTTTGTGTGGCCTTGGGCAAGCTGCTGGATGCTTTTGAGCAATAGTTTCCTTCTCTGTAGCATCTGAATAATAATTTTTACCAGGCCTTCCTTTTTATTATTGTGATAAAATTTACCATTTTCAAGTATGCAATTCAGTGGCATTTAGCACATGTACAATATGCCTTTCCTTTTGAGAAATGGTATGTGAAAATGCTTTATAAACCATAAAATGCTGCAGAATAAAGCTATTAGTCTTTCAGCAGTTTTTCCATTGCCACATTGATAACTTCTGATCAGAGATAATATATTTTCTTCATTGTCAACTTGAAAGGGAGCGCACAGAGATGAATAAAGCTGCCTTTATGTGTTAGGCTGTCACTCTGACGCGCTGTGGAACATAGAAGATAATTTAGGTATTAAGTGGCTTTTGCATCTGGGAGTGCTTGTCAAGAAACCAGACATTGTTCTTATGAATTGAAATAGTTCTCTGGATTAATATGTTTACTTTAAAAAATAAACAGAGAAGTCCAGGAGTACTGCCAGGAGGGAAAGTGAAGATAAATGTGCTTTTAGGTGACCGTAGTTTATTCCTTCAAGAACAGAGTCTGATTATTTACCCAGTGGGCCCCTTTGCTACCTAGCGGATGAGGTGTCGATAGGTAAAGCATGCCAGTCCTGAGATTGGAGGGTTTCCCTCTGAATAGCTGTGGTTTGGGTGGGGGGGCGTGGGAAGGTGATGCTTCGTGTGGCTGCCGTGCTGCTGGTGCGTTTCCACATGGCAAGAATCCCGCCCGCTGCTTTGGGGTTTTCCCCAGCGTGTCTTGCATACTCGCTCTGGATGTGAAACAGAGTGTTCTGGTGTGCAGCAGTCAGAGCCGTTTGCTTATTTTAGAATTTCAAGTTCTCCAAGTATTTGGCTTAGCTTTATTTTTTTACTCGCTGTGGTCCCTTCCATGCACAGGAAAAAGTAGAATAAATGCAAAAGAAAAGTAGAAGGATGGTTAACTTACGGTATTTGGAAAACATTTCCCCAGATGGGTTGGGGCCTTCCATCATCTCATTTATGTTAGTTAGGAAAGCATTCCAGCCTTGGTAATTCCAAGATTCAGCTGACTCTCCCTGGAATAATTACCTGCTTTTCCCTTTCCTGCCGTAGCCTTTCAGCAATGGATTGGTGACTGTGATGGTCCCCCAGCTTCGGAGGGAAAACAGTCTTCTCTTGTGGAATGTCTTTGACTTGAACACCCCGGTCCATACCTTCGTGGGGCACGATGACGTGGTGCTGGAGTTCCAGTGGAGGAAGCAGAAGGAGGGTGAGTGGGAGCCTGATTTCCTTCTGAGCCCTGTTCAACAGCAGCTCCAGTGGGGTTGCCTGTGTGGGCCAGTGTGGAGGACGCAGACCCCTCAGCACTGGGCTTGAGGAATGGGAGAGTCGGGGACTGCCACCATTCACTGTAGATGAGAAAAGGGGTGTGTGCCTGTGGCTTCTGTCCCAAGCTAGTGTCCCTTCTCATAGGTTCAGTGCCATCTCTCACCTGCACGGAAGAGATCTGTAAGAGATGGATAGACTTGCTGTTGGATTATCTCTGGGGTCACAGTCCTCAGAAGTCTGATGCTCGCTCCTTGCCACTCTGGGGAGGAAGGAGACCTGAGGTCGCCATCAGCACCCTGCCCACCACGTGTTCCTAGTTCCCTTCACAACACATAGTGGTGTTTTATCTTGCACCTCCTTGAAGATGGGTTTGGCCACATGGCTTGCTTTGATCATGAGACATAAACAGAGGGATGCGATCTCTTCTGGGTTGAAGCATTAGCAGCCGTTGTACAATTACACGCTGTCTTTGCTGCGGCCACCACAGCTGGCAGAACTCCAGCTGGAGCTGCACCCGTGAGCAAGGTGTCCTTGCTTTAAGCCCCTGAGATTTGGGCATTGTTCATTATTGCAGCTTCGTCTAGCCAGCCCTGACCAATGCAAGGTCAAGTGTAATGGAGTCAGAAGCCCTTGGCCTTCACTTCTCCACCAACTCACCATGCAAACTTAGTAGCAGCTTCTCTTTTCCTGAGATCTTATTGTCACGATATCTAAAGGTTTTAGGGAACAGAAGCATATTTCTTGGTCTTTCTGTGTTAAAGAAGGAAAACCAGGCAGTGGAGTGGTGTGACCTGTCCAGAGTCCCAGGAAAGGTCTTGGGTAGACCTGGGATTAGAGCGCTCATCTTATCCCGGCTTCTTTGTGACCTTCATGAGCCTCTCTTCCAGGATAGTTTTTGAAGGGACTCTTTTGGTCATCCTCTTAATTTTCTCATCTTTATTTCCCAAATATCCCTGCTTCTAGAAACATGAGGCTGCTTGGTCTTTATCCCATCAATTTGCATGCATGACTTTGGCTTTCATCTTCATCTCTTGCATTTTGCCATAGTAAACAGATGATGTCGTTTCTTGTGGTCTGGCAGGGAGAGGTTGGCCTGTAGTTTTGGCTTGAAACGAAAAGTTTCTAGCAACCCGCTTTCAGTTATCTGTCATCTGTAAGCTGGCAAGGTGAATTGTGTAAATTGAGACTATCTAGTCAGTAGTGAGATTCTGAGTGCAAGTTACAGGTATTTTTTCAAATTCCTTTTTCTTGCAAAGTATATCATCTGTCTAGAAAGTTGCATAAAACCTGTACAGTCTTACAAATTTGGAAGAGAAAATCTGTGTAACTACCACCATGGTCTAGAAAGCGAACATTGCTCGAGCCTTGGACCACAGTCCTGTCCCTTCCCCAGAAGGAAACACTGTCCTCATATTTATGAGAGTGATTGCTGTTCTTATTTTTTATTGTTTACCACCCGTTTACGCGGCCCCTGAAATGGCTTCAGCTCACTTGTTGGACCTTTCGTAAATGTAATCCCCCCGCACATTTCTTGTATTTTACTTCTTTTTCAACCGTTGCCACTTCGTTTTATTTTACTGCCATGTCTTCTTAGTTTTTACTGGGTTATCTCAAGCTTTGACTTGGGTTTTCACTGTGGTGCAGGAGCTCCTAGAGAGCTAGCAGAAGAAGCGGGGTGTCCTGGCCAAGGGGCAAGGGTGTTTCACGAAGGAGGCGCCAGTCACTGGTTTCAGATATTGCTGAAGGATCACCTTGTAGAATAAGAGAAAAGCCCTTAATTGTACAAATAGGAAGCGATGTGATTATTAGGAGACGAGTTCCAGAAGCAGACTGAAGATAGAGGCCAAATTGTAAGGCAGCTTGGACAGAGGCAGCAGGAACTGGTTTTGTGATTGAAGTTCCCTTCACAGGCAAGGAGCAGACTGAATTGATCTTAGAGCCGCTGCCTTCCCCCTCTGAGGGTGAGGAGAGGATGCAAGAGAATGGGTATGTGGGAAAGCTAGGGCCTTGTGAGGGTGAGAGGGAATGGGGGTGGAGGCAGTGGTAGAGGGGTTGGGATTAGAACGGAATTAGGGATAACTTTTCTCCATAGTCAGGGACACGAAAAGAAGCCAGATGTGGAGGCAGACGATTGCTGATGTAAACCTGAGTCTGCACGGGGTCGGCCGGGGGACTCCTGGCAGGCAGCTGTTCAGAAGACTTGTGCCTGTTACGCACACACAAGGATACGGTAACACACTGAGGGATTGAAGGCCCGATTGAGGGCAGTGACACAGAGAAGGAACTTCTGTCGCTTACCTACCCTTTTAGCTTGGACCCATCATGTTCTCTGTGACCTCCATTTTCCCACCTGTAAAATGAAGGAATTGGATGAAATTCAATTCTAAACTCTTCTAAATTCTTTGCCCTCTAAGGATGGCCGTAAAGGAGATTCTAGATATGACCTAATTACTCCGAAGTGCCCTGATCTTTTCATAAAGCTCCCTAAGTGATTTTGGAATAATTTCCCTCTGACCAGATGTGACATGTGAAAATATAACTCAGTCAGTTAAGAACACTCAAGATCGATTATCCATTTCATAAAGAGGTGCTTCTCTTTACCAAAGAATTCTTTTCAGTGGTAAGATTCCATTATGCATTTAAAGCAATTCATTTCACAAAAATCGTATTCACGCTCAGCTCCTCTGGAGCGTATAAAAGGAGGAACATTTGTGGAGGCGAAAGTTCAATGTGACGTTAAATCCCAGCGTCCCTCTTCACCTGCTGGGCTGCCAGATATCATTTCACTTCATTTAAGTTTCTGCTCAAATATGACTTCCTCAGGGAGGCCTATCTAAAAATAGCTTCGCCATCAGTTCTCTTATCCTGGTTGTTGTTGTTTCTTCTTCTTCTTCTTCTTTTTTTTTTTTTTTTTAAATAACACTATCCCTACCACACATTTTATTATGTATTTATCTATTCTTCTCTTGCCACCGCTGGATTGTGAGATCTGTAAAGACAGACGTTGTAGCAGTCCTGCTTGTCCTAGCACCTGGAGCAGTGCCCGGCATCTAGAAGAGGGTCAGCAAGTCTTTGTTGACTGGATGGGTGAAGGAGTCTCGCCCCATTGGAACCTGTAGCAAAAGTGATGTCGAATTAAAAAAAAAAAAAAAAAAAATTCCAGGATTCTTATTTGGTGATTTCTAGGGTCCAAGGACTACCAGCTGGTTACGTGGTCACGGGATCAGACCTTGAGGATGTGGCGGGTGGATTCCCAGATGCAGAGGGTACGTACTAAGCACTGTCGTGGAGGAGTGCGCCTGGGTGTGCTCGCAACTTACAGAAAGTACAGGCCTGAGTACTTGGAGTCAGAGGATGCGTGAGAGGCATTCACTAACACTTGCTGTTGGCCGAGTGGCGTGTGGAGGCTACACTGAGGCTTTCAGGGCTTCAAGAGCCAACTCCAGCGTTGGGCACTTTTAAGCGTCAAGAGCCTCTGACCGCCTTTTCTCTGGTCCCGGCATGAGAGTGTGGGCAGCCTACCGAGCAGACGGCCTGTGGGCATCATTTCTTTCTCTTCTTCTAACTGAACTGGGACGTCTGACCTTACCTGCAGTGTTCAGAGCCCTTAACGTCCACCCGCGGCACCTGTCCTGTGAAGCCCTTTTCAATTTTTGCCCTATAAATGATACCTGTTTCTTACGTGAACCACAGTGGTTGGTACCTGGTGTGAACTGCTGTGGCCCTGGCTGTGCTCTGCCTCAACACGGTTTTTCCATTCCGTGGCGATGTGCCTTACAGATAGGAACTGTGCGTCCTCGTGTGGCCTCCCGCACGGGGGTGCCTGGCTGGCTCAGTTGGTAGAACAGGCAGCTCCTTTTTTTTGGGTGCCAAAACCTGGGAACGAGAACATGCAATTCTCTCGCTCTCTTTGTTTTTTTTTTTTTTTTTAAGATTTTTTAAAATTAGTTAATTAATTAATTAGAGAGATCGCCTGTCTGGGGAAGAGCAGAGGGGAAAGGAGAGGGACACGCAAACTCCTGGCTGAGTATGGAACCTGATGTGGGCCTCAATCCCATGATCCTGAGATCATGACCTGAGCTAAAACCAAAGAATCAGACACTCAACCGGCTGAGCCACCCAGGTGCCCCAGGACCCATGCAGCTCTTGATTTCAGGATTTTGAGTTCAAGCCCCACGTTGGCTGTAGTAATTACTTAAAAATCAGCCGATCCATCAGTCCTTCAATCTTAAAAAAAAAATCTGCAGCACTGCTCAGTACAAAGTCACTCTTGAGCATTTGGGTCAAATATCCTCACCTTACTGCCTTTCAAGTATATTTTTTACAGAAAGTACCATTTGTTCATTTTTGGTCTTGGGTTAGCTGAACAACTCCATAAAGGCTTGGAATTTAAAATGTTTTCTGAGGCTTGCATAAACTTGGAACAGGATGAAAAATTTCCAGGGTAGCTGAAACTCTCACTCCTGTGTATTTAACCAGGGAGATTTGGTAGTGGGTAAAGCCCATTTTGATCAGTTTTTGGCTGACACCTTTAGCTTTTGTGCTTCCCATTTTTAAGTCAGAACCCTAACCAGACATGGAGATCATTTCCACTGACTTCTGTGGACCTAGATCTTCTACCCTTTGTTGCAGCTTTGTGCAAATGACATACTAGATGGTGTCGATGAGTTCATTGAGAGCATTTCTCTTCTGCCGGAACCAGAGAAGACCCTGCACGCTCAAGATACAGATCACCAGCACAACCTGAGCCACGGGGAGGAGGAAGGTAATTGGTCAGACAGGTGTTTCAGGTGACGTGCCCCCTGTGCATCTCAGAGTTTCAGCACATACCCTAGAACGGCCCTCAGACCCGTTTTCAAAAGTGTTTGCCAACAACTAAAGAACCTCTCTCTCCTGCTAGTCTTAAAGGAAGACCCCCCGAGCAGTATCCTGGAAGAGAAGAAATCGGAGCAGCTGGGACTCCCGCAGACTCTGCAGCAGGAGTTCTCCCTGATCAATGTGCAGATCCGGAACGTCAACGTGGAGGTGCTCACTGGCTTACCACCTCGTTCCCCTGCTGGCTGGTGGCCGTCGGTGGGCGAGGGGACTCCTCCAGCTCTCATTTCGGCTAGCAGAGAGCTTTGCTGCTCCAACAAGTGAACCTCTCTGCTGGCTTTTTTATTTCCTAGGTTTTCTAGAGAAATAGATGTTTTGCAAATGCAAATTATAGCCTCACTGTAGTATTTTCTCGTCAGATGAACTGAGGAGTAAACTGATGCTCATGTGTGTTGAAATCCTCCTAGCTGCTCCAACACCTCGTTTTACCATGTGTGAAGTTACTTAGAGCCAGGAAGGCTTAGTGCTTTGGCAAAGGTTACTGGTAGAGTTAGTGGCAGAGCTGAGTTTGAAAGCCAGACATCCTGACCCCCAGACCCCCACCCCCAGCCCCCAGGTTCTTTGTGCTCTGCTGTACTGTCTTCCCTTAAAGCTGGTCATTTCCTTAATGACTTAGATTCATAGTAAGAAGGTCATCGAACCTCTTTGTTCATTTAACACATGGAGACGTTTACTCTCTTCCTTTTGGGGAGATACTGAAATGCTTTCCTTCAGACAACTGAGTCTGAGTTTTGAAGCTTGATTTTGTTCTTTTTTTGCCTAGATTCAACTAACAGGTATGGATATGTGTGTATGCATAATTATCTCCTTTGGCCTTTTGGGGGGTGGGGGTGGGGCAAAGGGACAGAGAGAATCCCAAGCAGGCTCCATGCCCAGGACGTAATCCAAGGCAGGGCTCCATCTCATACCCCTGAACTCATGATCTGAGCTGCAGTCAAAAATTGGATGAGGTGCCTTCCTTTGGCCTTTAAAACAACTCTGCAATACATGCTTTTATCCCTACTTCACAGAGGGGAAGCTGACACTAAGGGATGTCATGACTTGTCTGAAGTCAGCAGCTGTTTGAATCTGTCTCCAGATTTCCCCTGTGTGTGCCTTTCTTTGCTCTACTGCAGCTGCCTTCTCTGGTTGGCAGTGCGAGAAATCAAGAGAGAGAAAGGATTCTTTGATTAATTGATTATCTGTATCAATTCAGATCATACCCCTCTGTTGAGAACACGTGAGAACGGTGTGGATAGCCAAGTGATTCTAGTTTAAGAAGGAGGTCTTGATTCCTTTTCCAGGAGTGCTTTTTTAAAAGTACTGAGATGTAATTCACGTAACTATGAAGTTTGCCCTTCTAAAGTGTATAATTTGGTGGTTCATAGAATAGTCACAGAGCTCTGCCATTATCACCCCTAATTCCAAAGCATTTTCATCATTTCATCATCCCTAAAAGGCCCTTTACCCATTCATGGTCACAGTCCATTGCGGGGGGGGGGGGCACCCCCACCCCCACCCGGGCACCGCTAATCTGCTGTCTCCGTGGATTTTCCCAGGAGTGCTTTTTTAACTCAGACCGGTATTTCACTTCTTCCTGCTCTCTTTTCTCATCTCAAAATAAATATAACAAGTTTCAGTCTACCTCACAGCTTCAGGCTGAAGCTTTCTTAAGTCACAATACTTTGAACTTATTAAATCAGTGCTAAAATTAAAAATCTGTCTTGAACACGAGTTGTCTCAGTCTTCCAAATTGGTTTGTCTCTGGAAAGTCTCCCTTCGCCCCGGTCCCGGGAACCTCGAGCTTGCAGTCAGCTTGTTTAAATTTATTTGTGTCCGGAGATGCCCGATGGTTCCTCTCCTAAGCTGTTGCCCCTTTGTTGCCTGCAGATGGACGCGGCGGACAGGAGCTGCACGGTGTCAGTGCACTGCAGCGGCCACCGCGTCAAGATGCTGGTGAAATTCCCTGCGCAGTACCCCAACAACGCTGCCCCTTCCTTCCAGTTTATCAACCCTACAACCATCACATCCACGATGAAAGCGAAGCTGCTAAAGGTAGGGCTCTCTGTTTACACATTCTCCTTAGTGTCGTAAGAGGAAACGTCTGTTCGTGGGCATCAGCGTCTTAAGCTGCGTGGTCAAGTTGAATGAAAGCTCCAGTAGATGAGATTTGAAAGTCCCATCTGTGCGGATGTGCTTCTCTGTTAACTTCATTGTCTGTAGAAAGCGTCAGGGCCGTGGTTCTTAACCTTTTTGGATCGTGGAGCCCCTTCAAACATTAAATGAAAACAACGGACCCTTCCCCAGAGAAATTTGTACAGATGCCTTATATAATCTTAGAAATATTGCGTGTAAATAGTTGTAGTTCTGTCATTGTATATAATCAGCTCATAGATCTCACTAAAGCTCTGCACGAATCCCAGGTTAAGAACCCTGCAGTACATTTTCATTTATCTGGGAACAGTAGGCTAGGTGTATTCTGAAGCTAAAAGATATTTTATAATCGGAAAACAAGGGATGCCTGAGTGGCTCAGTCAGTTAAGTGTCCAACTCTTGATCTCAGCTCAGGTCTTTGTTCTGTTTTTTTTTGTTTTTTTTTTCTTTTAAATCCATTCCAGGATGCCTGAGTGGCTCATTTGGTTAGGCATCTGCCTTCAGTTTAGGTCATAATCCCAGGGTCCTGGGATTGAGCCCCATATTGGGCTCCTTGCTCAGCGGGGAGCCTGCTTCTCCTAATACTTCTCCTTCTGCCTACCACTCCCCCTGCTTGTGCTCTCTCTCTGACAAATAAATAAATCTTAAAAAAAAAAAAAAAAAAAAAGAATTCTCAGAACATTAAAATTAAAAAAATAATAAAAATAAAAAAATTTAAAAAATTCATTTCACGGAAGGAGGTGGTGCCATGCTCAGGTGAGGCTGGCTAGCTGTCCAGGTGAGATGTCTGAAGGGATGGCAGTGCCTGAATGGAGGTGGGATAGCCTGGCATCTGGTCCTTGCTCCTGTGGACTCAGAAAGTTGCTTTTCGTGCAGAGCTGATAAGGCAGAATCTCTATTAAAAGTGCCCCTTGTGGCTCAGAGGATTAAAGCCTTTGCCTTTGGCTCAGGTCATGATCCCAGGGTCCTGGGATTGAGCCCTACATCGGGCTTTCTGCTCAGCAGGGAGCCTGCTTCCCCCCTCTCTCTCTGCCTGCCTCTGCCTACTTGTGATCTCTGTCTATCAAATAAATAAATAAAATCTTTAAATAAAAAAAAAATGCCCCACGAGCTGGGCATGGTACACCTTTTTCAGTTTGAGCAGTATCATGAGTGAAATAACTGAAATGTCTTGACAAACCAAGATGACCCAAACGCTATTCACCCTTTGCCTAGTTTCTATCATAGACACTTGACCCATCTTCCTGGAGGGAGATATGTAACCAAGAAATTTTTCAAGAGGTGTAAGGATCTCTCAAATGCTACTTTGATTTTGTTATATAGGTACATTTTGTGCTTGGAAATTTTTTTTTTTTATCCAAGTATAATTAACACGTAGTGTTAGGTATACAATATAGTGACTCAGCAATTCTGTACATTACTCAGGGCTCATCACAAGGGCACTCCTTAATCCCCATTACCTGTTTCATCTATTGTCCCCACCCACCTCCCCTCTGGTAATCATCTGTTTGTTCTCTAGAGTTATGAGTCTGTTTTTTTGTCTGTCTGTACTTGGAATTTGAATATTTCATTGTCTTATTTGCACATACAAAAAACATAGATGTTGCTATTGTTATAAAAATGATAGGATTAAGAGGTATCTTTAAAGGTCTAATTCAGTGCCATCCAATAAAAATAGAATGCAGGTTACACGTAATTTAAAATTTTCTAGTATCCACACTAAAAAAAGAAAAAATTGAAAGCAGGTAAATTAATTTCAGTAATATTTTTAGTTAATCCAATATATGCAAAGTATTCTCATCTCAACATGTAATCCATATAAAAATTATTGCAAGAGTTTGCATCATTTTTTTTTGTACTAAATCTTCAACACTTGGTATGAATTTTACACTTACAGCACATCTCAATTCAGCACGCCTAGCAGCTGACACTGGCCCTTTCCTTTTTTTTTTTTTTTTAAGATTTTATTTATTTGAGAGAGAGAGAACAAGCAGGGAGAGCAGCAGAGGGAGCCTGAAGCTGAGCTTAGTTCCAGGACCCCGAGATCATGACTTGGGCTGACGCCAGACGCTTAACTGACTGAGCCACCCAGACGCCCCAGCACATCTCAGTTCAGACTTAACCTCTCTTCACATGCTGTGTAGCCCCCGTGGGTAATGACTTCTGTAGTGCACCCCACAAGCCCAGTTAACACGCCTGTCTTCAGTATGTATGTTGGTTTATGTCTACAGCATGTGCTTTAAAATGTTAGGATTTGTGTTTTTAAAGAAGCAAAAAAAAAAAAAAAAAGATACGTTGTGATTTCCACTGAAGTGAAATCTGTTCACCCTGGCTTGTATTGGGTATTACTTCTGGGATCCTGAGATTTTCATGAGGGGGTGGGGGTTCAGCTGGAAGGAGAGGAAAGGAGTAGAATTCACAGGAAAGAATGTGTTCTCTCAAAAAAAAAAAAAAAAAAAAAGAACATGTTCTCTCAAACCATGCCTGCCCTGGCTAAAGAGAGAGCTTCTCGAATCTGCTCTGTGAGCCTCTAGAGCAGGTGGGAAGGAGGATGCCTCATTGGAAGCCTCAGACACAGCCACGCTCCTGTCTCCCTGCATCTTCACGACTTCCCACTGCTTTGAAGAATAAAAGTGAATCAGGAGAGGGAATGTTGCTATTCTTGACTGTGTTTCGTGCCTTTTCTAGATCCTGAAAGACACTTCTCTGCAAAAAGTGAAACGAAACCAGAGTTGTTTGGAGCCCTGCCTGCGCCAGCTCGTCTCCTGCCTGGAGTCTTTTGTGGTGGGATTCTCCTACCAACCTCTGCTTTGATGTTCCGTTTTGTTTCTTCCTCCCCAAACTAATGTATCCGTATTTTGTAAGTCAGCTTTAAGACAGCTTGTGGGTTTTACTCTGTTAATTTTTAAATTTCAGAACCAAGAAGACAGCACTTCCAGCAACCCCTTTGCACTCCCAAACTCCGTCACTCCACCCTTACCAACATTTGCCCGCGTGACCACTGCCTACGGGTCATACCAGGATGCCAATATTCCCTTCCCTAGGACTTCGGGGGCCAGGTTCTGCGGAGCAGGTGGGTCTCTTTTTTGGTTCTCTGATTCTAGATTTTGAGAGTAAGAAGCCCAGAATGTCCTGTAGTCTATAAAGAAATCTCAGAGAAGTCAGGAAATTGTCATTTGGTTTTGTTTCCTGGGAACTCTGCTGTAGAGTTAAATGGTCTGATGCCGAATTAACTTCTGCAGACATATCATAAGAATGTTCAACAGAATTACAGTTTTAATTTTTTGCATTCTCATGAGCATGAATTTGAGTCTTATTCAGATCCCTGATTCTCAACACAGGACAGGTCCCCTAGAAAAGAAATATAAAGTATCTGGGAAGATTTTTTCCATGCCACACACATCCCATCCCTCCTGGATCCTAGAGATTCTGACCCTTGTCCTTGTTATGTATGGCTACAGTCAGAGCTAACCGGGGCAGCCTTAGGATTTCCCACGTGCAGCTCATTGACCTTGATGTGCACATGTGGTGTCTCCTTTGTCAGGGTATCTGGTGTATTTCACAAGGCCAATGACGATGCATCGAGCAGTGTCTCCAACAGAACCTACTCCGAGGTGAGCCTGAGAGATGCAGATGTCCACTGTGTTCACGGGGCCGTAAGTGGGCAGACGTCTGAGAATGTGCAGAGTTTGTCTTTGGACAGGTGCTTTTAGTTCTTCAGTAAATACCCACTATAAGATTTATTCGAGAAAGATGAGGTTCATGAAATTGCCACTAAGCTGAGATTTGGGAGGTCCAGTTACTACCAAACCATCAGAAGTAGTTTGATAAAAGCTGTTGTCAGGGCACCTGGGTGGCTCAGTGAGTTAAAGCCACTGCCTTCAGCTCAGGTCATGATCCCAGGGTGCTGGGATCGAGTCCCGCATCGGGCTCTCTGCTCAGCAGGGAGCCTGCTTCCCTTCCCCTCTCTCTCTGCCTGCCTCTCTGTCTACTTGTGATCTCTGTCTGTCAAATGAATAAATAAAATCTTAAAAAAAAAAAAAAGCTGTTGTCAACACAAAGCAAATTCTTTTTTAATGTGCTTTTCCCCTATTGCTAAAGTATCACTTGAACATTGAATAAAAATTAAAAAGTAGGGGCGCCTGGGTGGCTCAGTGGGTTAAAGCCTCTGCCTTCAGCTCAGGTCATGATCCCAGGGTCCTGGGATCGAGCCCCGCATGGGGCTCCCTGCTCGGCGGGGAGCCTGCTTTCTCCTCTCTCTCTGCCTGCCTCTCTGCCTACTTGTGATCTCTGTCTGTCAAATAAATAAATAAAATCTTTAAAAAAAAAAAATAAATAAAAAAAATAAAAAGTAATGAAAAATCATCTGCTGGTCCACGGCGCCAGTATGGCACTCCTAACATTACTGAAACATGTTAAATTTTTTTAAAAATGACATTAAGTGGTTGGAAAAACTCACAATATGGAAGTTTTAAATTAAAATTTGAAAGCTCTCCTTTTCCTTGGCGAGTCACTGTTAGCATTTCAACATGCTTTCTGTCTGGTCTCCGTTATTTTTCTGTGTGGGGGTTTTTGGTTTATTTGTTTTGGTCTATTTTTAAGAGGCAATCTAAGTAGCAAATGGGAATGTGGACTTTGGAGCCAAGCCCCTGGGGCCTCATGTTGGCCCTGCTGCTCTGTGACCTTAGGCAAATTACTAAACTGGGCTTGAGTTTCCTCAACAGTAACTTGGGGATGATCCTGGCACCTGCCTCTTTTAGTTGCTGGGAAGATTAAATGTGTAAATCCCTGAGAAGCATTTAGAACAATGGCTGGCATGTTCCTCTGTGTTTCCTATTATTACTACTGGTTGTTGGGGGGGGTGTGTGTGTGTGTGTGTGTGTGTGTGTGTTCGTGTACTTGTTTTTTATGTTTTTACTGTTTTATTGAGATATAATTCACACAGGATATAGTTGACCCATTTAAAATAATTGTTATATATTCACAGACAGAGACAGAAGGTAGATAGTGTTTGCCTAACCCTGGAGGAATGGGGGACCTGGGAGTGTTGCCAGGTTGGGGATACAGTTTCATTTAGGGGTCATTAAAAATGTTGTAGAATTGACTATAGTGATGGCTGCATGTAAATTTGCCTATTCTGGGCATTTTATATAAATAGAATCATATAGTTACGTGGCCCTTTGTGACAGGCTTCTTTCACTTGGTGTTTTGTTTTCAGTGCTCATACATGTAGCACGTATCAGAACCTCCTTTCTTTTTATTGCCATATAATATTCAATCATACATATATGCCACCTTTTCTTTCTTTATTCATCAGTCGATAGCCATTTGGGTTATTTCCACTTCCTTGCTATTACGAATGATGCTTCTAGGAGCATTTGTATGCAAATTTTTGTGAGGGCCTAGATTTTCATTTTTCCCAGGTACATATCTAGGAGAGGAATTGCTGAGGCATATTGTAAAGGGTGTTTTTTCTTCATTAATCAACTTTATGTTTTAGAACAGTTTTAAATGTGTAGCAGAATTGAGTGGGAAGTTTGGGTACATACCCTTGTCCCCACACATGTGCAGCCTCCCCGCCCATACCACTGGTTTTTTAAGCTTAAATATTACCGGTTGCATATGTAGACTTCTGGTTCTGCAGTGTAGCAACCAGGATAACACGGAAGCCCTCCCGGTGCAAACACCTGGGTGTGCTGGTTGGAATAGAATCAGCATATTTACAGGAAAGAAAGGAGATTCACCTCCTGCTTTCCTGAGAGTCTGCCAGTCTTTGCAGTAACCCAGGCAGATGAGACCTTGGCCGACAGGACTGGGGAGTTACATGTCAGAGACCCCGTACATTGCTTGGGGTTTCTTATTTGAAACATTGTACTAAAAATCAATCATCTACTCTCAAAGGGAAACCAGAAGATGAGTATCCGGACTTCGGATCAGAACAGCATTTTACTGAGGTCTAATTCACAGTACACGGATGTGAATTGCATGCCTTGATGACCAGCACCCAGACCAGGATACAGAGCAAAGGTTGCCTGTCCTTTCACGCAGATGAAACCCGTCTTGTGACTTCCATCATTGTAGTTCTAGTTTTGCCTGTGCTTGAACTTCATCTAAGCAGACTGTCATGCAGCATGTGCTATTTTGTGTCTTACCTATTTTGTTCAACTTAATGTTTTTGTTTTTAAAAAAAATTTTTTTTAAGATTTTTAATTTATTTATTTGTCAGAGAGATAGAGAGAGCACAGGCAGGCAGAGTGGCAGGCAGAGGCAGAGGGAGAAGCAGGTTCCCTGTGGAGCAAGGAGCCCGATGCAGGACTCAATCCCAGGATGCCAGGATCATGACCTGAGCTGAAGGCAGCCACCCAACTGATGGAGCCACCCAGGCATCCCTGTTCTTCAAAAATTTCTTAAAGATTTTATGTATTTATTTGAGAGAGAGAGAATGGGTCGGGGGTGGGGGCAGTTGGAGAGGGAGAGGGAGGAGCAGACTCCCCGCTGAGCAGGGAGCCCTGATGTGGGGCTCAGTCTCAGGACTCTGAGATCATGACCTGAGCTCAAGGCAGCTGCTTAACCAACTGAGCCACCCAGGTGCCCCCAACTTAATGTTTTTGAAATGGATCCATATAGCTATATATGTCAGCGGTTCCATTGTATGAAATAATGCAATTTATTTATCATTCTCTTCTTGAGGGATATCTGGGTTATTTCCAGTTTGGGGCCTGATAAAATAAAAATTACCACATGGTTGCTCTACATTCTCTCAAAAATTTGGTGTTTTCAGTCTTTTCAACTTTAGCCATTGTGGTGGGTGTGTGGTATCTCATCAAGGTAATGGCTAGTGATGTTGTGCAGCTTTTGTGTGCTCATTGAACAATTGGGTTTCTTTTGTGATATGCCTGTTCAAGTATTTTGCCCATTTCTTTAGGACTATTTTTCTTATTACATATTTGTGGTAATTTTTTTTTTAAGAATTATTTATTTATTTGACAGAGAATTCACAAGTAGGCAGAGAGGCAGGCAGAGAGAGACAGGGAAGCAGGCTACCTGCTGAGCAGAGAGCCCAATGCAGGGCTCGATCCCAGGACCCTGAGACCATGACCTGAGCTGAAGGCAGAGGCTTAACCCACTGAGCCACCCAGGTGCTCTATTGTGGTAATATTTTATTCTGGTTGTAAATCCTTTCCTAGAAGTATGTGTTGATTTTCTCTGAGTCTGTGGCTTATCTTTCTCCTTCCCTAATGATTTTTAATAAACAAGAAGTTTTTATTTTATTTTATTTTATTTATTTATTTGACAGACAGAGATCACAAGTGGGCAGAGAGGGAGGCAGAGAGAGGAGGAAACAGGCTCCCTGCTGAGCAGAGAGCCTGATGCGGGACTCGATTCCAGGACCCTGAGATCATGACCTGAGCCGAAGGCAGAGGCTCCTGAGCCTGAGCCACCCAGGTGCCCCAGGAAGTTTTTAGTTTTGATGAAGTCCAGTCTATCACTTAAAAAAATTCTGTGATTAGTGCCTTTGTGTTCTAGAAAAAAAAAAACTTAGCCTACCCAAGGTCACAAAAATATTCTTCCAATTTCTTTTAAAAATTTATAGTTTTAGATTCCTTATTTAAAGCCTATAGTCTGGGGCGCCTGGGTGGCTCAGTGGGTTAAAGCCTCTGCCTTCGGCTCAGGTCATGATCTCAGGATCCTGGGATCGAGCCCCGCATCGGGATCTCTGCTCAGCAGGGAGCCTGCTTCCTCCTCTCTCTCTCTGCCTGCCTCTCTGCCTCCTTGTGATCTCTCTCTCTCTGTCAAATAAATAAAAATAAAATCTTTAAAAAAAAAATAAAGCCTATAGTCTATCTCAAATTAATTTTTGTCTATGATGTGAGTAGGGGCCAAAGTTCACTTTTTTCAATTGAGATATATAATTATTCCAGCACCATTTAAGGAAAAAAATGGAATTTTCTCATTGAATTTGCATTGATTAAAAAAAAATTGCATTAGGATACCTGGTGGCTCAGTTGGTTAAGCCTCTGCCTTTGGCTCAGGTTACAATCCTGGGGTCCTGGCATTAAGCCCTGTGTTGAGCTCCCTGCTTGGTGGGGAATCTGCTTTTCCCTCCCCTTTTGCCCCTTCCCTCACTTGTACTCTCTCTCTCTCAAATAAGTACATAAAATCTTTTTTTTTCTTTTTTTTTTCTTCTTTTTTTTAATCATTTTTTTAAATTTATTTTCAGCATAACAGTATTCATTGTTTTTGTACCACACCCAGTGCTCCATGCAGTCTGTGCCCTCTCTAATACCCACCACCTGGTTCCCCCAACCTCCCACTTTATTTATTTATTTATTTTTAAAGATTTTATTTATTTATTTGACAGACAGAGATCACAAGCAGGCAGACAAGCAGGCAGAGAGAGAGGAGGAAGCAGGTTCCCCGCTGAGCGGAGAGCCCGATGCGGGGCTCGATCCCAGGACCCTGGGATCATGACCTGAGCCGAAAGCAGAGGCTTTAACCCACTGAGCCACCCAGGCGCCCCCCAACCTCCCACTTTAAATAAAATTGCATTTGATATCATTGTTGAAAATCAGTTGACCCTGTTTGTGGGTCTGTTTCTGGAGTCTGTTACTTTTCCCCTTTGATCTATAGGTTTCTCTGTATGCCAACACTGTCCCCCCCCCTTTTTTATTAACATATAATGTATTACTTGTTTCCGGAGTACAGGTCTGTGATTCATCTGTCTTACACAATTCACAGCGCTCACCATAGCACATACCCTCCCCAGTGTCCATCTGCCTGCTACCCGATCCCTCCTATCACCCTCCACTCCAGTAACCCTCAGTTTGTTTCCTGAGATTAGGAGTCTCTCTCTCTCTCTCTCTCTCTTTTTTTTTTTCATAAAGATTTTTATTTATTTGTCACAGAGAGAGAGAGAGCACAAGCAGGAGGAAGGCAGGTAGAGCAGGCAGAGGGAGAAGCAGGCTTCTCACCAAGCAGGGAGCCTGATGCAGGACTTGATCCCAGGACTCCGGATTGTGACCTGAGCTGAAAGCAGATGCCCAGCCAACTAAGCCACGCAGGCATCCTGTGTTTAGGAGTCTCTTATCTCCCTTAGGAGATAGGTTTGTGTCCCTCTCTCGTTTCCTCTTGTTTCATTTTTTCTTCTCTTCCCTTATGATCCTCTGCCTTGTTTCTCAGATTCCATCAGTGAGATCATATGATAATTGTCTTTTCTTGATTGAGTTACTTCGCTTAGCATAATACTCTCTAGTTCTATCCACGTTGTTGCAAATGGCAAGATTTCATTTAGTGATGGCTGCATAATATTCCATTGTATATATATAATCTTCATTATCCATTCATCTGTCAATGGACATCTGGGCTCTTTCCATAGTTTGACTGTTGTGGACATTGCTGCTATAAACATTGGGGTGCAGGTTCCCCTTTCATATCCCTACATTTGTATCTTTCAGGTAAATACCCAGTAGCGCAATTGCTGGGTCATAGGGTAGCTCTATTTTCAACTTTTCAAGGAACCTCCATACTGTTTTCCAGAGTGGCTGCACCAGCTTGCGTTCCCACCAACAGTGTAGGAGGGTTCCCCTTTCTCTGCATCCTTGCCAACATCTGTTGTTTCCTAACTTGTTAATTTTAGTCATTCTGACTGGTGTGAGGTGGTATCCCATTGTGGTTTTGATTTGTATTTCCCTGATGCTAAGTGACATTGAGCCCTTTTTCATGTGTCTGTTGGCCATTTGTATGTCTTCTTTGCAAAAATGTCTGTTCATGTCTTCTACCCATTTCTTGATTGGATTAAATCAAGGTGTTTTGGGTGTTGAGTTTGACAAATTCTTTATAGATTTTGGATACTAGCCCTTTATCTGATATGTCATTTGCAAGTATCTTCTCCCATTCTGTCCGTTGTCTTTTGGTTTTGTTGACAGTTTTCTTTGCTGTGCAAAAGCTTTTTATCTTGATGAAGCCTCAATAGTTCATTTTTTTAAAAAAGATTTTATTTATTTATTTGACAGACAGAGATCACAAGCAGGCAGAGAGGCAGACAGAGAGAGAGGAGGAAGCAGGTTCCCTGCTGAGCAGAGAGCCTGATGTGGAACTTGATTCCAGGACCCTGGGATCATGACCCGAGCTGAAGGCAGAGGCTTTAACCCACTGAGCCACCCAGGCGCCCTCTCAATAGTTCATTTTTGCCCTTGCTTCCCTTGCCTTTGGCGGTGTGTCTAGGAAGATGTTGCTGCAGCTGAGGTCGAAGAGGTTGCTGCCTGTGTTCTCCTCAAGGATTTTGATGGATTCCTGTCTCACATTGAGGCCTTTCATCCATTTTTAGTCTATTGTGTGTGTGGTATAAGGAAATGGTTCAGTTTCATTCTTCTGCATGAGGCTGTCCAATTTTCCCAACACCATTTGCTGAAGAGGCTTTTTTCATTGGACATTCTTTTCTGCTTTGTTGAAGATGAGTTGACCATAGAGTTGAGGGTCCATTTCTGGTCTCTCTATTCTGTTCCATTTACCTTTGTGTCTGTTTTTGTGCCATACCATACTGTCTCGAGTACAGCTTTGAAATAGATCTTGGGGTCTGGCATTGTGATGCCACCGCTTTGGTTTTCTTTTTCAACATTGCTCTGGCTAAAATTTCATACAAATTTTAGGATGGTTTGTTCCTGCTCTGTGAAAAAAGTTGATAGTATTTTGATAGGGATAACTTTGAATGTGTAGATTGCTCTAGGTAGGATGGACATTTTAACAATATTTATGCTTCTAATCCACGAGTATGGAACATTTTTCCATTTTTTTGTATCTTCCTCAATTTCTTTCTTGAGTACTTTATAGTTTTCTGAGTATAGGTCCTTTGCCCCTTCAGTTAGGTTTATTCCTAGGTATCTTAAAGTATTTGGTGCAATTGTAAATGGGATCGACTCCTTAATTTTTTTTTTCTTCTGTCTCATTGTTGGTGTATAGAAATGCAACTGGTTTCTGTGCGATTTCATATCCTGCCACTTTGCTGAATTCCTGTGTGAGTTCTAGCAGTTTTGGGGTGGAGTCTTGGGTTTTCCACATAAAGTATCGTATCATCTGCAAAGAGTAAGAGTTTGACTTCTTCTTTGCCCATTCAGATGCCTTTTATTTCTTTTTGTTGTCTGATTGCTGAGGCTAGGACTTCTAGTACTATGTTGAATAGCAGTGGTGAGAGTGGACATCCCTGCCATGTTCTGACCTAAGGGGAAAGCTCTTAGTTTTTTACCATTGAGAATGATACTTGCTGTGGTTTTTTTCATAGATGGCTTTTATGATATTGAGGTATGTACCCTCTGTCCCTACTCTGTGAAGAGTTTTAATCGAGAAAGGATGCTGTACTTTGTCAAATGCTTTTTCTGCATCTACTGAGAGGATCATATGGTTCTTGTCTTTTCTTTTATTAATGTATTGATTAACATTGGTTGATTTGGGGGTGTTGAACCAACCTTGCATCCCATGAATAAATTTCACTTGGTCGTGGTGAATAATCCTTTTAATGTACTGTTGGATGCTATCTAACACTATACTTTTTAAAAAAAAAATTCTTTTTTAAAGATTTTATTTATTTATTTGACAGAGAGAGACACAGCAAGAACAGGAACACAAGCAGGGGGAGTGGGAGAGGGAAAGCAGGCTTCCCGCCGAGCAAGGAGCCCGGTGAAGGACTCGATCCCATGACCCTGGGATCATTACCTGAGCTGAAGGCAGATGCTTAATGACTGAGCCGCCCAGGCGCCCCTAATATTATACTCTTAATGTAGCTTTTATATAGTAAGTCTTCAGGTCTGCAAGGGTGTGTCCTCCAACCTTATTATTCTTCAGGATTGTTTGCTTACTCTAAGTCTTTTGTAGTCTTATAAAAATATGAAATGGCTTATTGGTTTCTACAGAAAAAAAGCCTATTCATATTTTAATTGGAAATGTGTTGACTCTGTAGATCAATTTGGAGAAAACAGACACCTTGACAATAATAATGGAAACTTCCAATCCACTAACATCATATATGCCTCTATTGGTTTGGGTTTTCTTTAATTTCTCAGCAATATTTTATATTTTCAATGCACATTTTTAAATTAAATTTGTTTCTAGGTATTTGATGCTATTGTAAATGAAAATTTTTAAATGTTTATTTCCAAATGTTTGTTTCTAATGTATAGAAATAAGTAGATTTTTATAGATTGGCCTCCTATTTAAATTCACTTATTTGCTCTACTAATTTGCTGATTTTCTTGAATTGTCTATATATACAATTGGAAGTATTCTCTGCTTTAGCAGACAAAGCGTTTTTTTTGTTTTGTAAGTTCATTTTGGTTTTTTTTTTTTTTTGAGTTTTCTTTTTTTTTTTTTTTCCCCTCCATTTTACCCATCTTTTCTCTTGGTTTCATCACATGCTTAAGAGCAACACTACTTGGAAAGATGGGAAGACTGTAGCCAGTATGGATAATTCTGCATTTTCAACCACAGGTCTCTGTCAGCCTTGTCTGCTTATCATACTGGCTTGATTGCGCCCATGAAGATCCGCACAGAAGCCCCTGGGAACCTTCGTTTATACAGTGGGAGCCCCACTCGCAGTGAGAAGGAGCAGGTCTCCATCAGCTCCTTCTACTACAAGGAGCGGGTAAGCAGCAGGCCATGGTCTTTGATTCTAATTCCGACTGGATTCTTGTTTTTTGTCTCCCTGCCTGCTATGCACAGCAGCTAAGTTAGTAATCCCCCTTAGTCTTTAACTTTCAAAATTAGTTTGTTCAAGAAGGACCTTTGCTTTGTTCCTTACAGTTGATTTTAACTATTGTGAATTGTGTGTGTGGAGGGGTGGGTTGGTTCTGTTATAATCCATATTCTTCACTCCCCATTTAACCCTATCCTGTTACCCCATTTGTTAAGGTGATTCCCATTGTTTCAGGTAGAATTATTAACCTGCAGATCTTCCTTAGTGTCTTATGTTTGTCCGCAAATTAAGGGATGCTTCTGAAGGTTTGAGATCTCAAGATACTTAGAACGTCACAGTGGTGAGAAGTTTTAAAGTTGATATGTGAGGGGTCTTATGCTTTTACTGTCTACACCAGAGTTCCCATCTGAATGGATAAGTTTATATGAAAATCCCCTGAGCCCATCCTTGTGTTCCTGGGTTCTTCAAGAACTCATCATCCCTAATGTAGCTATTTAGCTGTCAGAAGCCTTTGGTGACGATAATGTAGAGAATGTTGGCAGAGCGTAGGAATGCTAAGAACTCTCTCTGTGTTGTCAGATTGAGAGGCTGGTTTAAACTGGCTTTTAACTGACAATGATGTTTTAAACAGAGCTACCACTGAGTTATTAACCAGCTCAGTCCTTGGGAATTCTTTGTTGCTGTCCTCAACTAATTGGGAAATGATGGATTGACTATAGATGGAATGTGTTTTTTAAAAACTTGAGTTATTTTAAATAAAAACCCAATTTCCAGCTAGTGTTAGAGGTGCCTGCACTTCGATTGCACTGTAGTGTCTGGTCTTGGTTCACACTGGTAGGTGGTCACCTCTGACTTGTCGAGTCTTAGAGTTTGTATGCAACTGAAATGGACAGCAGAAGCTGATGCTTGAGGTGGACCAACCTTGGACAAGACCACTCTGTTGAATGGAGACAGTGATTATTGCCATTCTGTAGTCCCCTTCACCTCTCTGGCGGAATTGTGCTGGCTGTCACTGACTTTATTGGAGCACCTATATCTTCCCAAGTCCTTTACATTAAAAATTATTGGGTTTTCTTCCCTTTAAGCAAGCTAGCAGGCATTTTATTGACATAACAGTCAAACAAACTCGCGGTTGGGTAAATGGGGGTATTTTCTTCAGCATCAGGGCCAGGCTGAGGAGATCTTTTAGCCAAGAGATAGGTCTGAATCCTCCTCTGAGTCATGTCGTGTGTTACTCATGCTTGGGTTTGGATTGGGAAAAGAGGTGGACTAGCATTTTGACTCTGATAGTGCAAAAAGGCCACGCCTAGTCAAAATAACTCCCGTTCCACGATGGGACCTCTCCTAATGCCAAAGCATTTGTACAGCCTTATATTCATGTTTTTCACGGTCTGCCATAAACACCATAATCATAAAGAGGGACCAAAGGCACATAGATAGTTACCTTTTACCAGACAGGATCTGCTGGGGAGGAGGGGAAGGACTGTGATACTTCACTTTGGGATGACTCCCAGTATACAGCTTCTCCACAGGTTATTATAGTCCCTTAGGATGACCTAGTATAGTAAGTGATCTTGACGTTGTATTTCAGAGACAGACCATATAAAATATGGGTAGTCACTTGTGGTAATTTTATATGAAACATTCGTATTTCTGTGTAATATACATACCGAAAAGTTCACAGATCATAAGCATATAATTCAGTGAATTAACAGTCACACAGACCAAGAAATAGAACATCATAAGAACCCTAGAAGCTCTGGGGGAGGGAAGCACATCTCAGTGGGTAACATATAGTAATTAGGTGAAATCCTATGAAATTACTGATACTTGACTGTTTTTAACCTCAAAAAGTTTCATGTGGTTCAACCTCATATGCAGTTAAATGAGTGAGTCATTTTGTGTTGAATCTGAAATAAATTCATCTCTCCTTGAACCTTGTTCATGTCCATCCCATTATATGGGGCAGAAGGCGGGGGCTGGGGGAGTGAGGGGAATGAAACACGGCCATGATATCTTATAGAGACCATCTTCCTTCCTTTTAGAGGTCGATACAGTTTTATCCCTCGAGGAGTATTTTTTTATCCTCAGGTATCTAGTTTGACATGTGAAATAATACCACTTTTATTACTTTTGTTCTCAAAATGATTCTAGATTACTACATTTCTTTGTGCTCAAGTCTTTATTTTCAGCCCCCGTTTTTCCCCTACATATTTTTATTCTCTTTCAGATCTCTACCCCTGAGATCATTAAATGAGTAAGAGTAAAGGAAAAAGAATATAACTGCATTAAAGTATGGCATGTAAAGTAAAGCATGAAGGAATTATAGAGTGTTTTGAAGATTATAAGAAGCTTTATGGACCCACTGGGGATTTTACTGTTTGTTTCTCTTGTTTTTATGTGTTTTTAACCTGCCCTACTTAGGTCATATTATTATATTCACCCAAATGTTCTCCGGATGGAATTCCAAGGTTCATTCCTAAATATTAAAAAATGTGAGAGACCTAAAAAAAAAAAACATCAACAACCAAAGCCAACTATCAAATTTCACAGGAAGTTAGAAAGCCCAGAGAGATGCTAACATTCATCTGGTAACTGGACCAACTATTAATAGTTGATGAAATATTGTTTAGTCCTAGGGCAAATCAGAGGACCCGGAACTTGTGATAAACATTAGGCCTTGGCCTATAAACATTTCTAAAATTTTGCAACCTCCACCCATGCTTCAGTTTATGTCACTAAAATAGCTCTAATGTAAATAACTGAGGCGGTCTTGAAGTTAATAGAATAATTTCTGATTTCCATCGACAATGCTTTTCCGCCCCAGTTCCGCACTCATGCTATCAGCGAGCACCCTCGGGAGAGCAGCTCTTCAACCTTGCTCCCTCTTTCCCTCCATTTCCCGCGTGTGCTTGCTTACCCATCACTCCGAAAATAGACCTGTGGGCCTGAGGTCAAGGCTCCCAGTTTCCCCAGTGCCCCCCAAACCACACACCAGAAACAGTTTCTACCTTTTTAGGAATGAGAATCTTCTTGCACATATGTATGCTCTTGATGGAAAGGGGAGACCCTCCACCCATCTCTCTACTTGCCCTGGGATCCTCCCTAGAGAATCCCAAGCTTGAGCTCAGCCTCCTTATATCTTGAAATGCGTTTTGAGCTGAAGAACGAGGACACTGAAGCTGGGTTCGGAGTGCGATGGGTCGGGAGGGAGGTGAAGGCGTTCAGATACTGCTGTGTTTAAGTTTAGATCGGTAGTCACGCAAACCCAGTTTTGCAGTGTATTGTGGTACCTTTTAATCCATCAGATGTGTGGGAAGCTTTCATTTTATTCTATATTTTTCCCTTTTAATTTTCTTGGTGTTTTTCTTCCCTCCTCCTGGGTGTAACGTTTTCACGCACAGATGTCTCCTCGCTCTGCCCGGCGACGTTGGTCCATACAAGCAATTAACGACTTCCCGGTACTGTGCGCTGTGCAAATGCTCTCCTTGACTAATCCTGTCTGCCCAAAGGCCCAAGAATAAAATGCCACCTGGCTGGCTTTGAGGAACCTGAGGGACAGGCTGGCTGGTTTTCAGGACCAGCACAATAAATTTTTCCTTCTTGGGAGTCAGGCCCCAAGGACTTCCTCCTCGTTTCATCCAGTTTCCAATGGGCGAATACTGAGACCGTTAAGGATCGTGAACCGGCTTCTTTGAAAATGAAGCCAGACACTGGGTTTCTTGGAAAGAACCCCAACTGTAAGCCTTTTGCTCACCTGATTTCATTTGGAGTATTTGTATCGTTTCCTGGAGCTTTCAAAAGCCTACCTTTGGCATGGGGTGAAGCAGAGGAAGATAGAAGAGGCTTCCACCATTTTGTCTCTCTGTTTTTATCGTCTTGGTCTAGTTTAAAGAGGGAAGTGCTCACCTGCTTCATTGGCATGATGCATAAGCTAGTTTTTAATCCTTCGGGAACTTTCTGGAACAATTTTTTTTCCCTTACCAACAGTATTTTGCATTGCAATGAAACCTCTGCTGTGGACATCCTCTCTTCCTTTTCTTTCTCTCTTCCTCATTCCTGTTGGCCATCCCCCCTCTTCTGTCTTCCTCTCCCATCCCCTTCATGTTTCACTAGTGCCAAGGTGGCCTCGGGCTGTGAAAGGCAGCCTTGCGCCTTTTGTGTAAATTTCATTCGGTGTAAAAAATTTGGTGGGGGAAGAGTCCTTATAGCCTTTTCATATCGAAACCAGTTGAAATCAGGAGCCCTGACTAGCACTTACCACGGCTGCTGATAGCTTGCAGGTGGAGCGGCCATTGTGGCTGCCATCCCTCCAAAAGCCTGTCCCAGCCAACCTGACTGCTGGATTTCCAGTGATTTCCAGAAGTCTCTGCTCCCGCTGCTATTGAAATAGGAACTCATGTTGACTCACTGCCCACTCTGCTCATTATGCATTGTTGGTGGGGTTGCTGCGAAGCAGTTGGTGGCTTATTCTTGGGCTGTTTTACATTTAACCCATTTATTGGCATTGATGTTGCCTCCGATTGTAGCAGTAACACTGGTGGTACAGTCGCAAGCTGGCTATATTGGTTGTCATTCAGTGCTATTCGCACCAATGCCTCCCCCCGCCCCCACCTCTCCCAGTCCTTTCCTCCCTGTCCTCCTTCCTACGAGTCCATGAACGCCTTCTTGGTATGTTCAGAGGAGTATTCTGGTGCTCATCATGTAATAATTGTCTGTCTCGTTTTGTCTCTCTTCCTCAATCCCTGCTTATGAAATCTGTGGGGCAGGGGCGTTTTCTGGGATGGGGCATTGAGAAGACCTAAGAGAAACACGGGCCCTTTGCCTCCCAGAGGGACCGAGCCTACTGCACAGAAAAGCGACCCCTCGAAGCCCGTCAGAGTGGGACTAGAGCAATGCGAGAGGTTTCGGGGGCTGTCAGGCCAGAGTGCCCTCCGCTCACCTGGAACGCTCTGCCACACCTCAGCCTGGTGTGTCGCTGTTCTCTGCATGTTGTCACCTGACAGTGGCACAGATGAGGGATTCCTCCAATCACCAGCAAGATGTAAGGGAAGAGGAAGTCTTGGGGAAATGTGGATGGAATATGAACCCTTTTTGCTGCAAGGAAATTACTTGTGCTCCTTCGGGAGCAGCGAGGACCTAAGGCTCTGACATCTGCTCGGAGACTGAGCATGTCTTTACGTACGTAGGCAGACTGGCTATGTCTGCGTCCCCAGGATACACGGTCACTAGCCTGGTGTACTGGGTGACTCCCCTAGTCTGCAGGGGCGGCACTTCCTATTTAAAAACCACCAACCACTAAATAGAAAAAACGAGACTCTTTTATGGCCCCTTACAGATTTTTGATAACGTTTTGCACTTGCTCCTTGCTGGATTAGATGAATGCGCAGTGCAGTCCCATAATTGCTCTTATAGTTTGAGGCCTGGCGGCAGCTGCCAATACTGGCAAATGTCCTGTTACAGGCTCAGAGGCAGCTGAGTGAGTTCCCACCACACATCGCCTGCACATCAGAACGGATCAGGGGAACCAGCTAGAAGCCTGCCATCTCAAGAAGTTGCCAGGCAAGTCCCAGGAAATCTGGACTACGATTTCTATAGTTCAGTGAAGGGTGATTACAGAAGGTTGTCCAAGACCGCTGTCTACATTTTCATCAAGTACCTGTTGACTCGCACGGGTTTTTTTCCTCCCCATCTCTGCAATCAAGGACCCCAGACGGGCAGAGGGAAGAGTCCTAAGGCATTTCTTTGGACTCTGTTCTCTTCCCTCTGAACGTGCCTACCCCTCCCACTCCCCCAGAGGGGGTGAAACAGAGTGAGGGTCAGGCTCTCAAGCCTGGCCTGAAATATAGCATCTGGGGCTGAGCCTGGAGCCCCCGTGTGAAGCCAGTAGCCATGGCCGTCTCTTGTCTCTGCTGGTGTTTAGCCTGCGGCTCTGGCTCGGCTCAGGGTGCTCAGGGTACTTGGCAGAGAAGTGAAATGAGCAGTAACTGGAGAGGCTGGGGTGTCAGACAGGCCTCACTCCCATCAGATGTTGATCTCCTTCTATGCAGAGATGGATGCATTTAAAGATGGGCCAAACAGTTCACATAGTAACAAGTAGCTTAGTCTTAGGGCTTCTTTTTTTTCTTTTTAATCCAAAATCATGCACTCAAAAGCAGGTTAATAAGGATGGGCTTAGCAGCCTGACAGCCTGCGTTCAAATCTCAGCTCTTAGGAGTGTGGCCTCAAGTAAGACTCACATCGTCATTTGTCAAACGGAAGCAGCAGCCCCTCTTTCAGAGAGCTGTGGTGATGGCCACACTCGCAGCGAGGGAACATCCCAGAGCAGGAGCTCATGTTGTTCATAATAACAGACAAATCTGTAAATCCTAAGTCAAATATTTATGCGCTTGGACTTGCGTCCAGGACATCCCTCATTTCCTGCACAGAGGACCCTCTGTGGCCATTTGAAGGTGAGGCTGTGGGGAGATGGGACAGTTGCTCATGATCTTCCATGTTCCATGTTACCCAAGTTCTTCTGCTCAAGTCCATTTGGCATTCTGAAGTGATCACTTTCAGAAATAACACACGTCGCTAGGAAAAACATTTTTAAATGAGCTAGTCTATAGGCAAAGGGACCACTTTTGGCACACAGGCCTTAATACTCCGTTTTCATTAAGTTTGCTTAAAAAGACAGGAAATTGTGGTGGTTTTCTGTGTGGCCTGAAAGGTAGCAGACCCCATCCCTCATGGGGCCTCCATTTATTTCCACGGTTGAGTTATGTGGAGCTGTGGTGAAGTGGCCAGTTCTTCGGACGCTGCTCATTTTCTCTTATAAACAACGAGCCAGAGTGTTTGCCTGGAACAGTGTTTTAAACAAGCTTTCCACTCAGCACAGAAAACCAACGAGATGGATCATACTCCATTCCAGGTGGAATCTTTTTAGTGTCCATCTTTTCCTCTTGTTTCTTTCTTTCTTTTTAAATCCAGTACCCTAAATCTCATTTGAGGTATTCAATTATGTGGGACCTATGGGTGTTGTTTCCTGGAATTTTTAAACTCCTGGAAACCTGGATAAAAAAAGTTTGTGTACCTAACACCCTCCCTGTTCCAGTTCACCACACTGTGCTGTTCCTGTCGCTGCCCGGTAGATGGCCACGAAAGTACCCTACCGCCAGCCAGTCACGTCCAATGATCTCACGCACATGGGCGACATCTGTCTTGGGTCGGTTAACGCCGCCTGGCTCCAGCCCGTTCTGTCAGGTGGTTCACTCTTCAGCCCATTCGCCCTGTATTGCGTCCTTGTCAGAATATCTGTGGCTCCAAAGCTAGTATTTTTGTGAGTGGGTACATAATTCTTTAGAAACTAGCCTGCACAAATCGAGAATCAAAGGGCTACTGGACGTAGTAGCTGAGGCTTCTCTTGGATTGATAGTAACAATGTGTACGAATCAAGATCACAGAGAAACTCAGTTGCTACCAAAGGTAACTGGGTCAGAGTTCCAAATGGATAATGTAGCACATGTATTTACAAATTATGATAAACAGTTTACATCCTCAGCCAACCTTTACCCGCCACGATCCAAGTCCAGGTGTCCTGGGTCTAGTCGGTTCCATACCACTTACGGAGCCCATAGGAAGCTACATGCATTGGGCATCTTTGGGGATTAGACCAGACATCGCTGGTCAGAAACGACTAAATACAGACTGTGACTCATGAATGGAAGAGCGGTTGTATAAAAATCACTTGCAGAAAATCAATTATTTGTGAGTAACCTAAGTAATGATCTAATCTAAATTCCTGAAGGCTTATCATACATTTATAATCATTACAGATTTTTTAATTGTACGTTTTCAGTCTGCACTCTCACCCTTCCATTGTGGCCTTATTAAACTTGCAAGATCGGAATGGAGCTCATCGTGAGGCATAGTTCTCAGCGAGCAAAGAGGATGACATGAGACTAAGTTCATAGCAAATAAGGAGCTCACCCAGGGTCACACCGAACCAGCACAGGTGGTAATAAGACCCGCACACCTTGGTTTTCTGACTCCAGATCGCAGACCCTTCGCTAGCAACTTTGTTAATAAGTATGTCACCTCCCCTGAGTTGAGTCACTTTGGTGGGCCCCCTTTTAACTTCCAGCAATAAAATAAAGTAAAATATTGTTTCCTCGGCTACTTGTCATTTTGAGGATACCAGATGGGGCTACGCTGATAATTCTCCCTTTCCAGGACATCTCTCATTTCCCACACACAGGGCTCCTTTGTAGGGGGTGCCCTGGGGAAATAGGCCAGTTGCTCATGGTCTTCCATGTCCATTACCCAGGTACCTCTGCTCAAGTATTTTTGACATTCTAAAACGATCACTTCTTAGAAGTAATTCAAGTCTGCCAGGAAAAACCGGGTAATTCTCCTTGAGCTGCTACGTTTCTTGGTCTGCTTGCCACAGATTAAGGTTTGCAGAGCCCACACTGCTGTGTCTGAATTAAATTTTCCACAAACCCTATTAAAGCTGTCTAAGAAGAAAAAAAAAAAAAACTTTGATTAGTTTCAAGCAAGAACTTTGACCCTAAGGCTAATCCCAACCTTAAAAGTTGCTCTTCTCCCACATTTTTGTGGTCTTTACTAATTTTTATTTACCTGCTGTTCATTCTTTTTCTTTTCTTTTTTTTTAAATTCTAGATTCGAGGTATCTATTTTTGGGCACCTGCACAATGTATGTAGCCCTGCAGTAGGTGCATATTTTCCTGTTAGGATTTTGGAACCGACAGCTCAATGCCCTCTGCCATCCTTTTATTTCCTACAGATGCTGATTCATGTAATTGTGGGCATGATGTAATTCAAAGTCTCTGCAAATAACCAATGACCCAACTCTGATGTGCTCTGCAACTGTAGATTTCCATTCATCAGAGTCCCCATTAGTTATATCTCGTCATCTCCCCCAGAAATCTAGGAGATGGAAAAGCAAGCGTGAGGGGTCAGACTCAGGCAATCGACCGATCAAGGCTGCCGGGAAAGTTATCATCCAGGACACTGCGTGCCTTCTTCCTGTTCACAAATCACTGGGGGAACTGTACATGTAAGTCTGCTGTGCTTATCACACATCATAATCCACGTGGCTTCCTTTCTTTTTTTTTAAAGTTTTGGAAACCTTTCAGGGCGCCTGGGTGGCTCAGTCAGTTAAGCGATCGGCTCTTGATTTCTGTTCAGGTCGTGATCTCAGGGTTGTGAGTTCAAGCCCTGTGTCAGGCTCCGTGCTGGACATGGAGCCTCCCTGAGATTTTCTGTCTCCCTCTCCCTGCCCCTCTGCCTTCCCGCACCCCACCGTGCACACTCTCTGTCTCTCTCTCTCTCTCTCTCTCTTTTTTTAATATGTTTTGCTTGTTTGTTTGTTTTTTATGTTTTGTTGTTTGTTTTTTTTTAAGATTTTTTCATTATTATTTATTTATTTGACAGAGATCACAAGTAGGCAGAGAAGCAGGCAGAGAGAGAGGAGGAAGCAGGCTCCCTGCTGAGCAGAGAGCCCGATGCGGGGCTTGATCCCAGGACCCTGGGATCATGACCTGAGCTGAAGGCAGAGGCTTTAACCCACTGAGCCACCCAGGCACCCCAGTGTCTCTCTCTCTCTTAAATTAAAAAAAAAAAAAGTAAGGGTTGGAACCTTTTCTTCAGAAGTTTTAGGAGGAGACCAGTATATGAGCTTTCTATTGCTGCATAACAAGGCACCACAAACTTAGCAACTTAAAATAACATACATTTGCTATCTTGGGTTTCCGTGGGTCAGGGTCCAGGCATGGCTTTAGCCGGGTCCTTGCTCACGTCTCACCAGACTGAAACTGTAGAGGTGGCCATGTAATGGTCTTATCTAAAGCTTACAATCCTCTTCCAAGCTCATTCAGGTTGTTAGCAGAATTTACTTCCTTGAAGACATAGAACTCGGTGATTTTCGTCTTCGAGACCAGTAGGAGTTTCTCTCTGATGCTTCACTTTCTTTCTAAGGTCTCATCTGATTAGGTCCGGCCCACCTAAAATAATCTCTCTTTTGACACATTCAGAGTGGACGGATTAATAATCTAATCTTGGGTGTGATAGTCCATCAATATTCATTGGTATCACCCGTAATTAAAGGGAGTGGATTATATTAGATGTGTGGTGGGGGGAGGCACAGAAATCTTGTGAACAGCCTCAGAATTCTGCTTTCCATACCGATATGTAAAACAGTAAAAAGCAGAGCCACTTCGGTTGAAGGGAGTTGGGAGGCCAGTGCCAGGCGTATAGAGGCTGCCCTGTGGTCACCCTTCTTCTTGAACTGAACACATAACAAAAAGTGTTTATTTTGTAATATATACACAGCACACCACTCTTTGTGTTAGAAACCACAGTATTGCACATATTTAAATTCCTTTTTATTCAACCCGTAAGTGTGGGGAAATCCACAGAAAAGCTGGTTGCTAAATTGTCATTCAGGGCTGGCTTCCCGTCCTGACTTTAGAGAGGTGAACAACTTCATCTTCCCCAGGCGCGAGCCTGCAGCCTGAACTGTGGGTAAGCTTTTTCTCCATTACGTGACTTGAAGGGTGAAGCTTAAGGCTAGCGTAGATAAAACGTTTTGGATAACAATGAAAGGGGCAACTTTTAGTTTGTTAAATCATGCGTCACTGATTGAGGAGGTGAGACCAGAAAGAAACTTTTTAATTCTTTTTACATTTCAGATTAAATGTGAATGATATTCAAGAAACATGCCAGAAGAATGCCACTTCTGCCTTGCTTGTTGGAAGGAAGGACCTTGTCCAGGTTTGCGCATCCCTTCTCATGCCCATCTGGAGTTTTCTTTTTGAGCTGATCGTTTTCACTTCATAATTTTGGTTTAGTGACCTTTCAAGGAGTGCTTCCTATTTTGCAATTTCTCTACCATTTTCTTTGCCCAACTACAGGGCTAGAGTAGCTTTCTAAATCCTTTGGGTTTTCTCTCTCTCTTAAAAAAATTTTTTATTTAAGTACTCTTACCCCCAGTGTGGGGCTTGAACTCATGACCCTGAGATTAAGAGTTGCATGCTCTTCCAACTGAGGCAGCCAAGCACCCCACTCTGGGTCTTTTTCTTATTAGAGCTTAGTTGAGAAGATCCTAAAGCACATACTGATAATTTTTTTTTATTACATTTCTCTTTTACTCTGGTACCATGGTGATTATTGTACACACAAATGTGGGTATCTGTGCCTTTGCCATTTGCACTGTCAATTCTGTTTTGCTGGGGTTTTTATGCTTTTAAAGATGCTTTGTTTCAGGGGTGCCTCGGTGGTGCGGTCAGTTGGGCATCTAACTTTTGGTTTCGGCTCAGGTTGTGATCTCAGGGTCATGAGATCAAGCCCCCTTTTGGGGTCCGAGTTCTGCTTCAGATTTTCTTCCTCCTCTTCCTCTGCCTCTCCTGCTGGTGCTCTATTTCTCAAATCAATCAATCAATCAATCAATCAATCAGTCTTTTTTTTTTTAATGCTTTACTTCAAGGAGGGGCCTGGCTAGCTCAGTCAGTAGAGCATGTGACTCTTGATCGTGGGGTTGTAAGTTCAACCCCCATGTTGGGTGTAAAGATTATTTAAAAATAAAATCTTTAAGGGGCTCCTGGCCGGCTCAGTCGGTTAAGCATCCAATTTTGATCTCAGCTCAGGTCTTAATCTCTGGGTCATGTTTGTTTTTTGTTTTTGTTTTTTGTTTTAATTTCTAATCTCTCTTCTTTTTTTTTTTTTTAAGATTTTATTTATTTATTTGACAGACAGAGGTCATAAGTAGGCAGAGAGGCAGGCAGAGAGAGAGGAAGGGAAGCAGACTTCCTGCTGAGCAGAGAGCCCGATGCTGGGCTCGATCCCAGGACCCTGGGATCATGACCTGAGCCGAAGGCAGAGGCTTTAACCTACTGAGCCACCCAGGCGCCCCTGGGTCATGATTTTTAAGTCCCACGTTGGGCTCCATGCTGGGTGTGAAGCCTACTTAAAAAAAAAATGTTTTGTAATCCTGGGCAACACTTAATCTTTCTGAACCTCAGTTTCCTCGAGTATGAAATAGTCCTGATTCTAGTACCAGTGAGGAAGAAATAAGGTCATATATGTGAAACTCCCATGTCTATATCTGCTAGATGGCAAATATCCAACGTATGGGATAGTCGCCACTCTGTTCCTGTAATTATCGTGGTCATTAGTGGCATGGTACTTGTAAAGGGACAGAAATGGCATCGGTGCAAATGCTTGAAGAATATTTTCTGGTTCTTTTTTATACATATGTTGATGATGATGTGTCTACTGTAATGCAAAAAGTTGTAGAAATAATCCCAAGTGTCCACTATTCCTGTTAAAGCCATTCAAGAAATGTGTATTAAAAGTGAGGACTTAAGGGGGCGCCTGGTGGCTTGATTGGTTAAGCTTCCGACCCTTGGTTCTGATTTAGATCATGATCTGAGGGTTGTGAGGGCGAGCCGCATGCCAGGCTCCTCCACGCTCAGCAGTGCGTGTTGGGCGGGACGTCTGCTTGAGATTCTCTCTCCTTCTCCTCTGGCCTCCTGTGTTCTCTCTCTCTCTCAAAGGAAAGAAATCTCTCTCTCTCTCTCTCTCTCTCTTTTAAGATTTTATTTTTACTTATTTGACAGAGATCACAAGTAGGCAGAGAGGCAGGCAGAGAGGGGGAAGGAGGCTCCCTGCTGAGCAGAGAGCCCGATGCAGGGCTCGATCCCAGGACCCTGGGATCATGACCTGAGCCGAAGGCAGAGGCTTTAACCCACCGAGCCACCCAGGTGCCCCTCTCTCTCTTTTTTTAATCCAAGGAAGTAACATGCCTAAATTGTCAGGGTAGTAAACATCCTCTCCCATCCCAGAAAGACATTAACTTCTCCCAGCAATCATTCAGGCAGGTCACTGTTTAGAGAGATGAAAGGAAACCTTGTGATTCTTGTCTTAATCGATACTTGCGTGTTTAAGTATATTAGTGCCACCTAATTTAATAGGTTTTTACTGTATATCTGATGTGTTTCTCTACCCGTTTTTCAGTATTTTTGTTTGTTCTTTTTTCTTAGATTATTGACTCCTTGATTAAACTCTGTATTTTCTTCCTTTCAAGTTTCTCACAGAGTCTAGTTTAGTGTTTTTCAGTTAGTGGGCATGCAATGATGTATTGCCCCTAAGAAAGATTTCCCAGTAGTACTCCATTTTTAAAAGTGTGGAAGGAAGGAGGCTCTGTTGATGGCGTGATGTATTTAATATAGTGTGTGCAAAGTGTTGAATTTAATAGGTACCTAATGGATATTAGTTTCTGCTTGATGACCCCAAGCCCTGTGAGAGTTCAGGTTTGAAGATACTCCTCAGATTTGATGTCAACAAAAAGAAAGTCAAGTCTATTTTGTCCTGGCCTGTTTTTCTTTAGCTTTAAGAGTATGCTGAAACTTCTGTGATGAAAGCAACAAAGTTTCCCATTACTTGGGCAAGGACAGATCTGAAATGTGATAGGGAATGCTTTTATCCCCACCTTTCCCTGCCTGTTCACTAATACAGCAACAAAAGAAGTCACTTGAGATAACCTATTGAGGTTAATATGTGGTGTCATTTCTTTGAGGTTTGCTTAATAAAAGTTTTTAAAACTAGTGTTTCTTGAGCATTACAGTCCCCAGAGAATCTTGTTAAAATGCATATTTTGATTCATTGTGTCTGGAAGGGGGCCTGATGTTCCCAGTTTCTGTTGCCCTCAGAGCAGCAAGGCTGTAGGCTGTGTGTGGAGAAGTGGGGTTCTTCCATGCTTCCTGGTCCTGTCCTCACCAGTTTGATTTCAAGTGTTTTTCTTCGATCTGTTCCAGGTTTGGTCGCTGGCTACAGTCGCTACGGATCTTTGCCTTGGTCCCAAATCTGACCCAGATTTGGAAACACCCTGGGCTCGACATCCATTTGGGCGACAGCTGCTGGAGTCTCTGTAGGTTTTGAGAGCTAAAAGTGAGGAAAACAAGTGATGTAAATTTTAGGTCTGTAAACCTTTCCAGTGTTTTCATCGAGGAGGTCTAAGAAATGGGAAAATATGAGCTCTTTCCCATTAGTGCTTTAGTAATTTCTGTGCAGAACTGAATTCTTACAGCAGAAGGAAGTATACAGTATTTTTTATTTACAACAAGGATTTGAGATTCATGTGTCCTTTAGAGATTTATGCCTTAGCCCATAAGTCACACTAGTCTGAAACACAGGAGAATGAACTCTTGAAATGGTAGATTTCTGGGGTGCTATAGAGTTTTGGCCCCAAGAGCAGATTCTCTAGCTCCGTGTTGACTTACATGTTTCCTAAGGGCGATGACGTTTTCACCCTATTGGCAGTTTATGAAGGTTGGATTTCTTGCTCTGAAATGTGGTGGGCTGGAAATACAGTGTGAAAATGGTTTGCCACCACGTCCAACCACTTGAACCATCATAACTGTGAGGCTCAGAGCCTGACAGAGAGACAGAGAAGCTCTGATGCCTTCAGGTGGAGGATTGCTAGACTTACTTGTTGAGGCTGGACCTGGGCCCTGTGCTGAGGCTTCAGTCGCGTCATGGTGATGCAGGGATGATAATGGTTGTTCTAGCCACATCACATAAGGCTCAAATATGGTGGTGTGAAAACACTTTTAAGAAACACCATGCATTGGGGTGCCTGAGTGGCTCAGTTGGTTGGGCATCTGCTTTCAGCTTGGGTCGTGATCCCAGGGTCCTGGGATCGAGTTCTGCATTGGGCTCTCTGTTTGGAGGGGAGCCTGCTTCTCCCTCTGCCTGCTGCTCTGCCTGCTTGTGCTCCCCTCTCTGTCAAATAAATGAAATCTTTAAAAAAATTTAAAAAACCCACCATACATTGCTTGGCAGGAAAATATCAGTATCATTCTATCACAGAGGCCATGTTGCTCTGATCCCTATCTCACATCCTAGCGTAGTGGTCCTAAAAGGGGCAAAGAGGATGCGGGTAAAAGGTAAGAATATCCCTTGTTATTCTTATTTAATAGCTCATATTCATAATTCCACCTTTGTGTCTTTTGTCAACTCTCCACACTATGGTGATGGTACAGTGTTCTGAGCACCTTTAATGTAGCATTAGGTTATGAGTGAAGAGGGAGTCTTCTTGGAACTGGGAAACCAAGAGCACATGCATGGCCCCATTCAGATGTTAGCTTAGTTCACTTAGTTCTTGGAGAGGCTACACGCTTGTCTAAGCCGTGCCTGGATCCCAAACAGAAGCTTTCACATGGGTTATCCAGCTCATTTGTAATACTTGGATACATTCTTTTCCAGAACAGATTTAGCCAGACTCAAAGTACAAGCTGCTGGATCTGTAGAAAGCCCTGGATCCTGACGATTTTGTGAGGCAGAATTAAGAATCCTCCCTTCTGCCCTCGGTCCGCAGCCCACCACAATGTGACAGTTATCCTTCCTCTATCTGTTCTCTTGACTTTTTCTCCTCTTATCTTTTCCTTCAGGTTGGCTCACTACTGCCGACTCCGGGACGTCCAGACATTGGCCATGCTCTGCAGCGTGTTTGAAGCCCAGTCTCGGCCTCAGGGAATACCAAACCCCTTCGGACCCTTTCCCGGCCGGTCGTCTAACCTTGTGGTGTCCCACAGCCGATACGTAAGCCTGCGGCCTTGTGCGTTGTATCCGACTGCTCCTAAAGGGAAGCCTGTTCTGACGCCGCTTCTGTTTGTCCTGCAGCCCAGCTTCACGTCCTCAGGCTCCTGCTCAAGCATGTCAGACCCAGGGCTCAACACCGGTGGCTGGAACATAGGTTGGTTTGGCGCTGCCTTGGCCACGCTGATTTCTGGCGCTCGGAACACTGTGTGTGAATTGTTACTGTGTCAGCTTCGGTTGGTATATGCACTCCGTGTTATCCTTGTTTCTCACTTCTCTTCCAATTTAATGTGATGGGGATGCTGTCATTAGCAAGGCCTGGACTTGAACAGGCCAGTTTCTAGTATGTCTTTGTGCCCGGCTGGGTGGCTTTTCAACTTGTAACCTTGAAAGACTGGCAGTGGGACTTCAGTGTTCCGGTAAACCCGACCCTCGTCCTTTCTCCCTCACACGCCGCCCCTGCCCGACCCCACACGAGGTGGGGCCACTTGATAGCTGTCTCTTCCCACGTGCACCTTTCAAGGTAGAGAAATAAAGATGAGCCTGATTCCAGCTGGCCATAAAGGTCTATTTAACGAACAAGTGTATTTGTGGCTTCTGGATTTTTGAAATTTCTTTTTAAAAATCATCTTAATTTTCTTCCTTCCCCCCCCTTTTTTTTTTTTTTCTTACTCAGAATTTATTCTTCTCTTATGTTGAACTTGAATGAGCTTGGTGATTTAGTTTCCTAGTCTATAAAATAGAAGCCACAGATACAGAGACTTGGAAATAAAAGGTGGAGCCCGTTAGAGGCAGGGCAGGCAAAGAAGTCATAGTTACAGTAATTTGATAGGAAGAGATAAAAAGTATTAAGAAAAAAAAAAAGACCCAAACAGAAAACATTAGTTTGTGCTTAGTAAGAACAGTGTCAAATAATTTCCTGAGAGAATATCGCTGTCTTGCCAACCATGATTCTGGGTTGTGCAGAAAAACATTTTACCAGTACCATTTGCACAAGAAGTCAGGAAAAGTCATTTTATTATATTCAGAATAGTTTTAAAACTATGAAACTTGGGGCGCCTGGGTGGCTTAGTGGGGTAAGCCTTGCCTTTGGCTCAGGTCATGATCTCAGGGTCCTGGGATCGAGCCCCGCATCAGGCTCTCTACTCAGCAGGGAGCCTGCTTCCCCCCCAGCCCCCGCCTGCCTCTCTGCCTACTTGTGATCTCTCTCTGTCAAATAAATAAATAAAATCTTTAAAAAAAAAACTATGTAATTTTAAAATGTTTCAACAAAGTGAAGTTTCTCTTTCTTGGAAAACCCATTCAGGTAAGTAGGGCAGGGAAGACAGAAACCTTGTTCCTTTGATTTTCTTGATGATAAAAGTAATTACAATGGGGGCACCTCAGTGACCCAGTTGGTTAAGTGTCCAACTCTTGGTTTCAGCTCAGGTCATGATCTCAGGGATGTGAGTTTGCTAGAGATTCTCTCCTTCTGTCTGCCCCTCTCCCCTGCATGTGCACATCTACGCACGTGTTTGTTCTTTCTTTCTCTCAAATAAGTAAATAAATCTTTTAAAAAAATAATACATGCCCAGTATTAAAAAGTATTAAAGATGAAAATAATCATCACTGAACCTCCACCTAGAAATATTGTCTATTAGCATTCCAAAACACTTTTCCCAATCTGTGTGTGTGAGTGTGTGAAGGGTCATTCTATATATATATATGATTTTGTGTTCTGTTTTTAATTTTATCATGAGCATTTTCTCACGTCATTGAAAAAGTCTTTATCAATAATGACTGCTTTATCTAATATCCTATATCACTCTACCGTTATCTGCTGCTTAATTGTTGTGTGCACTTCATTATTAGGTTACCTTAACAGTAAATATGTAAATAAAAAGGTAAGGCTACGAAAGAGCTCCCCTTAGGTCCATTTCTCAGCATCTTCCACTCAGCTTATTTTCCTTCTGGCAGCTAACTTGAGCACACTCTGCATTATGAGAGTTTCCAGACAATTTCTACGCCTTCTCTGATTTCCCTCTTCCCTTCCTGTTCGATTTGCTTCAGCGGGAAGAGAGGCAGAACATGTCTCCTCACCTTGGGGAGAGTCTTCTCCAGAAGAAATCCGCTTTGGGAGTCTCACCTACAATGACCCCCGTGAGCGAGAACGTGATCAGCATGATAAAAATAAAAGGTAAACACCTTCCCCGGCGAGAGCTGCAGTTTCATAATGCTTAGAGTCCCCCAAATCAAGACTCTTACTATAAGAAAGGTGTGTTAAGATCATTAGGGATCGAGCTTGTTTTTCCTTAAAGGGACTGACAGGAAATCTTTTGAGTTTTATCCAGGCTTCTGGACCCTGCCAATACCCAGCAATTTGATGACTTTAAGAAATGCTATGGAGAAATCCTCTATCGCTGGGGTCTGAGAGAGAAACGAGCTGAGGTGCTGAAGTTTGTCTCCTGTCCTCCTGATCCTCACAAAGGGATTGGTGAATATGAATTTCTTTCTTTTCCCGTCACTGTCTGAAAGGTCCTATAATTTAATTTGTCCTTAAATGTAAGACTTGGAGTGAAAAGTCTTCCAGCTTTTCACTTAGAAACAGAAATTTCTAAGGGATTTTGAGTCTGCTCTAACCTTCCGAAAACCCTTGCATTTCATGACAAGAGTACGTTTCTCTTCTAAGGGGAAGTAATTTTCCATACGGTACTCAGATGCTGATTCGGAGGAGGGGTAGTCATTCACTTACTCAACTAATCCATACTGAGCTCCTGTGAGGCACAGTGCTGGCATGTTCCTTCCCCTCCTGGAACTCACAGACTAGTGGGGGAGAAAAATTAAATAACTATAGGTTGTGGTCACTGTTGATGAGCAAACAAAAAGGATGTTGGCACAGGTAGAGCAGGGAGGGGGAATTTCAGGTGATGTCTGGCCGTGTGTGGGGAAGGCCTTTCTGAGGGGCTGCGGTGGAGGGATGAGAAGCCATCTGTGAGGAGAGCAGCAGACATTAAATTAGGAGAGGAAGCTCAGGGCTAGAACACAGTGAGTGAGAGGGGTACCAAATTAAATTGTAGGATAATTAGGGACTTGCAAGTCATGGTACGAATTGGGACTGTATTTTGAGTCCAATGGTAAGCTTCAAAGGGTATTAAGAAGTAAGTGACATGCTCTGGTTTCTGTTTTGAGAGAATCACTGACTGTTAAATGAAGAAAGGATCAGAAGAGGGTGGGGTAGAAGTTGGAAGAACTTTAGGGTAGTCAGAGGGAGATCAACAGCCTAGTCTCGGGCGATGGGCAACAGGGATGGAGAGAGGGGGTAGATTCGAAATACTTTCTAGAGGTAGACTCCGCATGATATGCGGACAAACTGGATGTGGGATTGAGGGGAAGGGACAAAGCTTAGATGATTCCTAGGTTTCCAGTTTGGGCAACTGGGTAGGTCATGGTGCCACAATCTAAGATAGAAGAGGCTGGAAGAAAGTTAAGAGGTGTGTTTGGGACAGCTGGAGATGTGTGTGAGCTGTCAGACTGGAACATCACGTAGGTGGCCAGATAGGAGTCTGGAGCTCAAAGGGGAGCCTGGGGCAAGAACTAGCAGTTTGGGGCATTCTCAGCATGTAAGTGGTCCTGGAGCTGTGAGAATGGGTACATTGACCTGGGACCTGGGGGGCGCGGAGGAAGAGTACAGGGAGAGCAAGAGCCCACCCACTCCGGGCTTTGAGAGAAGCCAGTACCTGCAACTTAAGTCTAGAGGAATGGCCAGAGACAGACTCAGAAGGAGATACCAGTTTTTGAGGAAAAGCAAGAGTGTGATCTGAAAGGAGCTAAGAGATGTGTTTTTTGTATTGTTTTAAGATTTTATTTATTTATTTGACAGACAGAAATCACAAGCAGGCAAAGAGGCAGGTGGAGAGAGAGGAAGGAAAGCAGGCTCCCCGCAGAGCAGAGAGCCCGATGTGGGGTTTGATCCCAGGACCCTGGGATCATGACCTGAGCCGAAGGCAGAGGCTTTAACCCACTGAGCCACCCAGGCGCCCCAAGAGATGAGTTTTAAAGGGTGATGTGGAAGGTCACCGGAGAGGGTGGTCTGAACACACATCGATGTCCTCTCCCCCAGAGGCCCCCCACCCCAACGAGCATCTATCCAGAGCTTTCCTGAAAAGGTATAACCATGCAAAGAGAATCATGTTGTTGATAGCATTTGGGACCAGGGAGACAGCTTAGTGGTTACTGATTTTATGGGGCCTGAACAGAGAGGCAGGAAAACAGTGCGACCGTAACAGAGCCCGCATCCCTCTCCACCCTGCCCCCAACTCGGTGGCTCAGAATTTAGTGATGCTTGGCACCTTGGGAAGTGGCACGAAGGTGAGACTAAACACAGGATTATTGTTGGGTGGCTTTTTTTAGGGTCCCCAGGTCCCTGCTCCCAGTTTGCCGAGCAGGTTATGAGCCTTCCTCTATCACAACAGAAACTCAGGAATTTTTGTTCTCCAGAGAAGGCAGACAGCTTTCCAGATTGAAAGGGTACACCAAGCACCTAGTATAGTCAGTGAAGACCCGGGATAAAGAAAGACCCGGGAGCTACCAGGGAGCACAGGTCCCACACAGAGGATAAGGAATATGGGCAGCGCCGCACTTCTCAGGAGCGGCGAACCAGACACTGGGAAGGAGAGGATGAGGCGGCATTGCCTTCGGAATTCTCCAGAAAATGATTTCTGCCCTAGAATCCTGCCCCAGATGATTAGTCCCCGTGTGAAAGTAAACCTTCCGCCTATCCGGGAAGGCAGGGAGTCGGGATGGTGGTGAAGGGGGACCCACCCGGCTGACCTGGAGGCAGACCCCTCCAGCCTAGTGCTGAGGAGCATCGTCTCCAAAAAGAGAAAGTTAGAAAAATAGCTACTGGATTTCAGTGTTTGCTCTGTTTTTAGAGATTCAGGTATTTGAGAGAGGGTTTGCAAATGCGGTAAACAAACTAAGCAAACAACAATAAGACGGTTACTGAGAAAAGCCAAGCGTGCAAGAAGGGAAAAGTGGTCATGGTACATGGCTTGGCTTGAGTAAGGCTCACCTAGGTAGATCATGTGAAAACAGAAGGCTGATCTAACCAAGTAATAATGGAACTGTGTGGGGAAGATGAGGGACGGGGTGTGTGTGTGGTTAGGGGGCATTTGGGGAGTGAAAGAAGCTTCCACGGGAAAGTAGAGAATGCTTAAATGTGGAAATTAAAAATTAGCTTCATAAAGGGGTGTTTGGAGATAGAAGGTAGAAATAAAAAGTTAAATGAGTTGGAAGGATTTCCTCCCGGGAGTGATGGGCGAGGGGGTGGAAGGGAATGCCGGTTTTGTTAATCAAACGTATAGTATTATTTGACTCTTTAAGTTGTATGTATGTGGTTTCGGTTAAAAAACCCAAACAAGGGTCGCCTGGGTGGCTCAGTGGGTTGAGCCTCTGCTTTCGGCTCAGGTCATGATTGCAGGATCCTGGGATTGAGCCCTATATCGGCCTCTCTGCTCAGCAGGGAGCCTGCTTCCCCCTCTCTCCCTGCCTACCTCTGAGCCTGCTTGTGATCTCTCTCTCTCTGTCAAATAAATAAATAAAATCTAAAAAAACAAAACAAAAAAAAAACCCAAACAAGGTGCCTGGCTAGCTCAGTCGATAGAGCGTGGGACTCTGGATCTTGGGGTTGTGAGTTCGAGCCCCATGTTAGGTGTAGAGATGACTTAAAATCTTTAAAAAAAACCAAAAAAACCAAAAACCAAGCCAGAGTAATATGGAGATTTAGGTATCAAAAAACAAGTTTTGTTTTAATATGGATTATTTTGGTGTATGTACTTGAGGGAATGCAAAGATGCAAAATGCTGTTTGGACATTGTATTTTTCAGAGCATCTAAGTGCATGGAAGTTTATCAGAGAGAGTAATGAAGGCCTGGAGCAATTTGTCATTTAGAATTAGTTTTCAGGAAAATATATGAATCCCAGAGATAGGTAATGGATACATTGCACCCTTATGACATCTATTATTATTAGCATCATGCTAGGTTCTGTTGGCCATGCAAGGGAACACGAGGTGTGGTTTGGGGGGTGCTGTCAAAAAGTCTCCAATCAGAGAAGCGAAACAGGAACTCATGGAGACTTCAGTGACCCTGAAGCATGAATAGTGAGTCCTAGTACCATTGCAAATGGTATTGCAAGATTTCAAAGGGGAGGGATTCTGGTAGAGAGACTCACAGACAAAAGCATTACGTATTTTCGTCTTTATTAGTTATCACTTTGGAAGAATTGGACTGCTCAAATCTAGCAAACAGCAGATATTGAAAGAGAAATACTCCGGGGTTACCAGGGCTACAGTTAGTCTCGAAATTGCTGGAAGCCAGCAGTTTCCTCTTGGGCTCATCACATCTGCAAGGGTCATCCATATCAGCAGCAAATTTTAGGGATAAAATTGGTTTCATGTGAGGGGTTATATTTATAGAAAGGGCTTGAGGCTTCATTTATCTTGAAGGGATAGTCCTAGACAGAACACTTTTTAATAAACCATCTCCATTACGAGATGATTTTTTTTTTTCATTTTTTTAAAATTAACATATAATGTATTATTTGTTTCAGCGGTACAGGTCTATGAATCATCAGTCTTATACAGTTCACAGCACTGCCCATAGCACATACCCTCCCCAGTGTCCATAACCCAGCCACTCTATTCCTGCCCTCCCCACCCCCCAGCAACCCTCAGTTTGTTCCCTGAGATTGAGTCTCTTATGGTTTGTCTCCCTCTCTGCTTTGATGTTTTATTTTTTCCTTCCCTGCCCTAACGACCCCCTACCCTGCCTCTCAAATTCTTTATGTCGGAGAGATCATAAGATAATTGTCTTTCTCTGATTGAGTTACTTCTCTTAGCATAATACTCTCTAGTTCCATCCACGTTGCTGCAAATTTTTTTGATGGCTACATAGTATTCCATTGCATATATACCACATCTTCTTTATCCATTCATCTCTTGATGGACATCTGGGCTCTTTTCATACTTTGGCTATTGTGGACGTTGCTGCTATAAACATTGGGGTGCAGATGCCCGTTTGGATCACCACATTTGTATCTTTAGAGTAAATACCCAGTAGTGCATTTGCTGGGTCATAGCGTAGCTCTATTTTCAACTTTTTGAGGAACCTCCATACTGTTTTCCAGAGTGGCTCTACCAGCTTGCATTCCCACCAACAGTGTAGGAGGGTTCCCCCTTCTCTGCATCCTTGCCAACATCTGTCGTTTCCTAACTTGTTAATTTTAGCCTTTTTGACTGGTGTGAGGTGATATCCCATTGTGGTTTTGATTTGTATTTCCCAGATGCTAAGTGACGTTGAGCCCTTTTTCATGTGTCTGTTGGCCATTTGTATGTCTTCTTTGCAGAAATATCTGTTCATGTCTCCTGCCCATTTCTTGACTGGATTATTTGTTCTTTGGGTGTTGAGTTTGACAAATTCTTTATAGATTTTGGAT